TTATCCGTTGAATTAGTTCATTATAGGGGGTGGTAATTCGTTACTAGGTACCAAAAGGGGTAGTGTTGAATAATTAAAGAGATCAAATATTTTATACTAAAACAGAATGAACCGAATAGTCCTTATATTTATTGTTGAACACAGCTAAGGTTACCGTGACAACTGGATTGAATTTAGCTAATACTGCAAGTGTAACTGAACTTAATTTTTTGGATCTTTGACCATCCCCCTTCAGTTTTTTTCCGAAATTCGATTTACGGAAGTCTATTTAAATTGATTTTGATGTTCTAAACTGAATTGAAAGGTGTCAGTGTGAACAAGTGGACAGATTTTTACTACATGAACATGTTCTAAGCAGTCTTATAATGCAACTTTACTAGGTGGGTGGGAAACTGGAAAAGAACCCATATTTTTGAGGTCATTGATGACACAAGGCTCGGCCCCCACCCTTTTTAATTCATTGAAATTCAACGTTCGACGTTCAAAACCTTTTTATATAGTTCTAGCCTTTGTCAGAAATAGGTCGGCAAAAATGTCAGTTTTGTGGTGTTTCTGTTGGTCAGATTTTTGATCTGAACAAGGTGGTATCGCTGATAGTGATAGACTGTCAGAGCATTTTTGTACGCAAATCGCAAACAATACTATTTGAAGTATATTTTTTTACCGACTTTCGTAACGAAAGTAACGGAATATTTGTGCTCGGCGTGTTTTTTGTTTCTTCAGACACGTTTCGACTCTTTAATAAGCGGTTTTTTTTAAAGTTTTTTTAATATCATTCAAAAGATATTGTTGTTTTGAGTTTAAATTTGAAAAGGTATTTCACCTGTGATCGTTTGTCGTAAAGTTATGTGGGTTTAAAGATTGCAATTTTGGACAATTAACGCGCGATATGTTTCGCGCTTTAAACGCGTAAGCGGAGGTTTAATCCGTCCTAAAATTCGTTCCAAATTGGTTGAAGGAAACTTATTTGCCATATTTGATTTGTTACTAGGAGCAAAATTTATCACTATATTTTTATATGGCGTGCGGAGGGATGATTTTCACAAAAGTCTCAAATAAAAAAATCATTTTTTATTAGATTTAATTCTTTCATGTTATTACTGCTCCATAGACATTAAAAGGCAGTCGGAACATCCAGGTTTTCGCCCTGATACGAGCAGTCTTCTTTAGTTCGTACTTATCATTTTTTCCTAATTCATTAGCTGGGCACTGCTAACGTTCATAGATATCAAAATACTCGAATATTGTTGGAAGAAAATTGTTGCAAGAATTGTTGGAAGAAAATGCTTCAAAAACCGATCACTAAAACTCATATTCCGCTGCCAAACAATATCTCGGCGAAATCAAAACGACGCAATTCAACAAGTAAAGTTTTGGTCAATATTTTCATTCGGCGTTTTTTAGCTATTATGAACATTTTGATGTCTATGAACGTTAACAATGCCCAGCTAATGAATCAAGAAAAAATGATCGCAGTGAAAAAGTTTTCAATAATTTTGCTCAAGGCATTTTTAATTTTCAGATGATTTTGTCTCCACAGTGTAGTTTTGTCTCCGCTCTAATTTTGTCGCCAATTAACCTGTTTTAACCCTTTCGCCATCTGAATGACATCAGTGTAGCTATACCGATGAGGAGGAGATGGGTTCTACAGGGGAATGCTCAAACTATCGTGGCTCAAACTGCTCAAACTGGTCTCCACTCCATAATGTGGTTGGCTAGTTTTGTTTCAACGGCTATACCAACACCATGGAGCCCCTGCTTGTCATCGTATCCAGAGCAATAAAATTTATAGGAGGGAGTGTCTGCAACATCGTTGATGTTGATGGAGGGGGATCCTTGGAATCGGGTTTCTTGGATGCAGGCCACTTGAATATTCAGTGATTTTAGCGTTGAAGCCATTAGTGCGAGGCTTTCCGGTGGAAGGAGTGTGCGTGTGTTCCAAGTAGCTAGATTGATTTGAGATTTGGAATGATTGACCGACTTGGCTTTGCTTCCCAATGCGGCTGAGTTGGGGGCCCCAGGTACCGCGGGAACCGTAGCTGACAGTGAATTGTTTGATCGAGTTTTCATATGGGTACATGGCTGAATACATCCGAGGGTTCGCCACTCCCTGGGATGCCAGAGCTCCGTTAGCCCCACACTGCTGGCAGCAGTGCAGGTACACCCCTGCACCACGATGAGGAGGAGATGGGTTCTACAGCCAAATGCTCAAACTATCATGGCATCTCACTCTTGAATATCGCTTTCAAGATCTTAGAGGCGATCCTTAAAAACAGGCTCGAACCAGCCTATGATACAGTTGCTAGAGACAACCAGGCTGGCTTCAAAAAGAAGCGCGGATGTCGCGATCAAATATTTGCAATCAGACAAACAGTAGAACAAAGACACGAATACAATAGACAGACTGTTCTCGTATTTATTGACTTTAAAGCTGCGTTTGACAGCGTCAACCGCGAGACAATCTGGTGCATCCTCGAGAGTCACGGCCTCCCATCCAAAATCCTCCAAATCCTAAGAGCCATGTACACAGAAACGTTTAGTACAGTCAGGGTTTACAACTCACTATCTAACCCATTTGCCATTGTCTCAGGGGTCAGACAAGGTTCGATACTTGCACCATTCTTGTTCAACCTTGTAATCGACTGGGCATTGCTCGAAGCAACGGAAAACCAACCCCTTGGCATCGCCCTTGACGATATGGTAATTACAGATCTAGACTTCGCTGATGATATCTGTTTACTTGAAGACAATATCAAAGACGCACAGACACTTCTTGAGCTAGTCACTCGCGCCGCTGCAAAAGGCGGTCTTGATATAAACACATCCAAAACGAAATTCTGCTCTGCTTATCCTGGAGACCAAATGACCTGCAATGACGCCCCCATCGATAGGGTGAATACTTTCACCTATCTAGGCAGCAACCTGCAACTCGATGGTGACGTGTCACACGAAATCCAGATCCGCCTCGGAAAAGCAACAGGACGCTTCAAACAATTAGACAAGCTCTGGAAACAAAGATCAGTCCCGACCAGAATCAAATCGAAAGTATACAAAGCATGTGTCGAAAGCGTGCTCCTGTACGGATGTGAATCCTGGCCAGTCAAGGCATCCGATACTCAACGCCTCGACTCCTTCAACTGCAGATGCCTGAGAAACCTTGGTGCTCCGACAGACACCATGAGTTCCACCGTACAACAAAGACGCCTCAAATGGCTAGGGTACACCCTACGCATGGAACCCAACATGATACCCAACGCATGCCTGGAATTTGAGAAAGCCGACAACTGGAAGAGACCCCCCGGTGGAGTAAAGAACTCGTGGAGACGGTTAGTGAAGAAGGAACTCCGCCCTTTCTTGAAACCCCAAAAAATGACCCACAAGAACTGGGAGGCAAGCTGGTTCGATTTGGCCAAAGATACTCACTGAACAGGCCGCAGTGGAAAGCAATTGTGAGAGATATACATATGGCGGGCAATGGGCAGTAATGCTCGAAAACGCCCTACGAAGACGAAGAACGACATCGAGCGAGTTTTATGAAAAAGGTAGTTCACCTGCGATTGTTTTCAGTTAAGTTACGTCATGCGCTGCAAGAAGGAAATTTTGGCATCGTGTATTTGAAATTGCTAGGCAGTGGGTGAAAAAAAGGAGAAATTTCAGTTTCAAAAAAGTTTTCATTTTTTGCCTTAAAACTAAAGCAGATCCTCCGCCAAGCATAGGCGGCATGGCATGTTCAGGGTTTCGCCCTCTGCTACGGCCAGTCTTGCCGAACTTTCTGGTCAGCCACCAGAAAATATTGTTCGAGTTGTCAGCGTTGATAGAAATTCGTGACAGGACATAATTTGTGAACCAAATTTGGCCTGTTATTGTTGACTGCGTTATTTAACAGCTCAGCGTGTGTTGTGCTAGTTGCCAAATGGTAACATTGGCTTTGCCTACCTTCCCTTCAATTGACCCCACTTGTTTAGTGGTGGTATTCAAACCAGCCGAAGTATAAACCAGCTACCATGTAAAGCAGCCGAAAACACGTAACAGTTATATAATAGTTATGTAACCATTATATAACCATAGTTATGTAACCAGTTACGAAAGTATATTAAAAATGTAAAAGTTATGTAACAGTTATTCAAGTTTCGTTCAAATTACATATCGGTTGGTTTTTATATACTGCGCTTTTTCGGCTGATTTATACTTTGGCTGGCTTATTCACAATTTTGTTTGATGGTATTGAATCTTCTCCTTTCCCTATCCACCCGCTCTCCTTTTTCTCAATTTGGAGCCAGTTGGGTTTGGGCTGATTATATGAGGGGCGGAGTTGGTAGTTGCGTGTCGCCTGTCAATCACTTCGAACCCATTTTGATCGCAACTGTGCTAATAGGCATGGCAATCATTGCCGCAATACGTTCCCCCCTACACTACCATTGTCAGCCCGTACTTTTTGAAATATCTAAAATGAAGCCGATTAGAAAATGTTTGGCATATGTTCAAATTCAGAATTGCCCAATATTTTCGATATGAACGAAAAAATGACGAAATTTAAAAAAAGTTGCTATTAAAAGTTGCAGAAAGTTTTGTCAAATAATTTTTTAGCGAGAGTCATTACCAATGGAAGATACTATTGTAGTTCGTAGAAATTAAAACGAGTTTAAAGCTTTTCAACAAGTGTCGAGCTTTCGGCTGGTTAGTATGTAGGCTATGGGTTAAGCAACCGTTAATACCCCGCTGACGACCTCCATGTTTATTGCCTCAAATTTGCCCTGCTAGTAAACAACCGCAGTCTAAATTCACGCGAATGTTGACCAAATAGACCATCGCTCCAACTGCTAAACCAATGCAACCAACTCATGTTTATACTCGACTGAAACAATTTTCGAAAGTGACAGTCAATTCAAACGGCTCCCGAAACATTCCTAATTTGTTGAGTTTGAAATAATAAACCCAGTCCGTCATTTTACATGCTTCTAATTCAGGATTAAATGTCACTCAAATTAAGGAAAGTAAATCATTATTTTAGATAAAAGCCATGACTGAAAATCACAATGAAAATGAACTTAATAATAACGAGCCACGCGCGATACAAATCATAGAAGCTAAACCCGATCACACTTTCGAATTGAACTTAGATGCACTGAAAGATGTCGTCCAGAGGCCTCATGTCCGCGACAAACGAGTCATGGTACTCTCGGTCGCCGGAGCGTTCCGAAAGGGCAAGTCGTTCCTCCTAGATTTCCTTTTAAGGTACCTAAAAAGACAAGCAGTGTCGGGATCTCGGAACGACTCTTGGATTGGCGAGGCTGAAGATAAATTACTTGGCTTTTCGTGGCGCAGTGGGTCCGAACGAGACACGAACGGAATTCTGATGTGGAGCGAACCATTCTTCGTGAAGACAAACTCGGGCGATGAAATTGTTGTTCTGCTAATGGATACGCAGGGATCCTTTGATAACCAGTCCACGGTTAGGGATTGTGCGACCATTTTTGCTTTGTCGACTATGATCAGTTCGGTGCAGGTTTTCAATATTAGCATGAATGTTCAAGAGGACGACTTGCAACACTTACAACTGTTCACAGAGTACGGTAGGCTTGCATTGCAATCGGCTCAAGGGAAGCCGTTTCAGAGACTAGTGTTCCTGGTTCGAGACTGGAGTTTTCCCTACGAGTACCCATACGGCGCAGAAGGTGGGGCTAAAAAATTGTCTAAAATTTTACAAGTTTCCGAGAAGCAGCATGATGAATTGAGAAATGTAAGGGGTCATATAAGTAGTTGTTTTTCGCATGTTGACTGTTTTCTAATGCCACACCCTGGCTTGAAAGTGGCGACCTCGCCTGAATTTGTGGGTCAATTAAAAGACATAGAGGTGGAATTCCAGAACCAACTGAAAGACCTTGTCAAGTATCTCTTCAGTCCCGAGAAGTTGCAGTGTAAAATGATCAACGACCAGGCTATCACGGCGTCCGATCTGGTCGCTTATTTTGAATCGTACATGAAAATATACCAAGGTGACGAGCTACCGGAGCCAAAGACTATGCTGCAAGCCACTGCCGAGGCGAACAATCTCGCCGCTGTTTCCGCTGCCAGAGAATTGTACCAGCGAGAACTGGAATTATTTTGCGGAGGCGACAAGCCTTATATGAAGCCAGAAATCATGGAAACCCATCACAAACATCTCTCCGAAAAGGCTTTAGAAAAGTTCAAATCCGTTCGCAAAATGGGAGGATCCGAATTCAGCGAACAGTACGCGCTGCAGTTACATGATCAATTAACCGAAATATACGTAAGTTACACTAAGCAGAACGAAGCTAAAAACCTGTTTCACACGGCCAAGACCCCCCTCACATTGTTCATATTAGTCATCGCTTGTTATTTGCTCTCCGGAACCTGTGTGATGTTTGGCGTCTATTCTGTGGCTAACATATTTAACATCATCATGGGCGTGGTGATTCTTTCCCTATGTACCTGGGCGTATTCGAGACTTACGGGGGATTATGGGGAAGTGGCGACTGTGATTGACACTTTTGCTGAAGTCGCCTGGGACAACTTCGTCTCAAATATTGTGCAGAAGGTGACTGAAAAAACAGCCATTTCAAATTTCAACCGATTTCAAACTCAACAGCAACCCAACGCCAATGGCGACACCGCGAAAAATAAATAGAAATCAAAGTTTTTTTTAGAAAAACTCCAGAGCTGCCGGTAGTTTTAAAAGAGCAAATAGCTATATCATATTTAGAGCAGTGAGAACCCTATTAATGTAGTAGAGTGTTGCTATGTATGTCACGCAAGTCCTTTCAGTCCAATCACAGCTTTTTCTTTGGTGTTGTCTGGTAGATTTCAAATCACCTGCTCTTCTGTCAATCATTAAAATTAATTAATTATGTATTTAATTAGTTGATTAAATAAAGTATGCCCTCTTTTCGGGCCTTGATATGCATTGTATTTGCATGGCTTAAGCACCAGTTTATATATTTTTTCCCGTTTTGCTTAATATTTTTTATCAGATTATAATTGATAATGATGAATTTAAAAACAATTTTACTCTAAAATTACCTGTTTTTCTACTTATTAAAACTAAGCTAGAATTCAGTTGAGTGATCGTGATTCAAGAAATTGACGCGCCGTTTTTGTTCGCGCTTTTTGCGCGAGCGAATTGCAATATTGAGCTTGTGGTTTTTACTCAATTTTGCGACATCCCAAAACCGGTGTTTATTCTCATGTGCAAAGGACCGAATGCACGAAAATTTTCAACCAATCATTGCCTTTGAATTGTCCAAAATTCACTGAATTTATCACCTATTTCTTTTGAACTTTTGAATACTTCGCTCTGATTGGTTGACAAAACTTTCGCTCCTTCGCGCATGAAAAATTCCATCCAGCATAACCTACATTGGCTTAATTAATTTTGAAATTATTAAGGGTTTCGCAATTTTCCACGCAAAGTTTTTGTCTGGGTTTGCACATCGTTCAACTTGTTGCATAATTTTAATTCAAATTGTTAGCTTATTATAGGGCGCATATGGCGAAGAAGTAATCCAACAAATTTTGATAGCTCGAGCCGCAATCAGATTTTTTAGCTAATTATAATTTTATTCAAAACATCTCATCGCATTCACAAAGCTTATTTATATTTTTAGCTCATCTATATGCGCTAGAAATAGAGAGCTCATGTATATACGCTAGAAATAGAGAGCTCGAACAAATTGTCTGATCTTTCGCAAAAACATTTCTTGGCCCATTTTTGATTGATTTTGTGGCTCGCTCATTTTTTGATACGGCTTCGAATGATGTACATATGCTGAACAAAATAAAAAGAGTAAGGATTTTTAATGAGCAGATTTTTTTGATGAAATTTTACTTCAATTTTCATTGATTTTTTTCTGGCTTGCTTTGTTTACACAAGCATAGCTTGTGGATTACTATGAACTATCTTTTTTTCCAACCTAAGTCGCAAGTATTGTTGCGATGCAATTTTTTTTGCGATAAAATGTATTCATTTTGAAAGTTCTTTTTGATCAATAACCAAAGTAACGGAAAATTTCTGCTCGGGGTGGTTTTCTTTCTTTTGACAAGTTTCGACTTTTTAACTGACCTTTTTTGACAAAATTTCTTTCGTTATATTCAAAAGGTATTGTTGTCCTTAGCTTGAATTTGAAATCATATTTCACCTTTGATCATTTTTTGTAAAGTTATGGGGGGTTTAAAAATTGCCATTTTGGTCAATTTGGGAAAATGAATACGCTATATATTTCGCGCTATTAACGCTTAAGCGGTGATTCAATCCGTCTTAGAAATCGTTCCAAATTGGTTGAAGGAAGCTTTTTTGCGGTAATTATTTGTTACTAGGAGCGAAATTTTTTACTTTGTACTTTATATGGCGTGTGGGGAATGATTTTTACAAAAATCTCAATTTTTTTTTTAAAAAAAGTTTCATTTCAATGGAATTTTTTCATGTTATTACTGCTCCATATACCTTAAAAGGCAGTCAGAACATTCAGGGCTTCGACTTGATAGGAGCAGTCTTGTTTTAGTTTGTACTTATTTGATAATATTGACGCACTGATACGAGCAGTTTTGTAGTACAAATAGCTCTTTAGCTTCAAGGTATCATGGATTTATAGCGTAGAAGTAGGGAAGAGACGCGCAACAAAATAACAGGGTCGAACCTGGGCAGGGTCGGATGTTTTAAATAAACTTTTCGTATACTAGCTAAAATGCGTCCGCTCTATAAATTGAGACATGTGCAATTGGTAATTTTCGTTCGTTTTCAAATTCACTGGTACTGCTAATGCGTCGTAATTGGCTTGCGTCCCTTATGAAATTTTGTAGACTCAAAGTTCAACTCACTCAGTTTTTCCCAGCAGCGTTATCGGTCATATTTTTGCTTGTTTATGCGAAGTGCAACTTCGCCTTTGTGGAAAAATATTGAAATTTTTATGTATTTCTACTGCAATTTGTTTGTTTTTTCAAATGCGTCTTTGTTTTCACGTAGGAAACTTCTTTATCGAAATCACTGAATCATTCATTCAACTCTTTCCTCATCTCTTTTTTTGTTCAACCAACAGAAATATGTTGAGCTTGTGTGCAAATTAAATGCCCAATCTATTTAAACAAGTGGAGCGTAGTGTAATACTACGAAATGACTTTTCTCCAACCTGACCGCAAATAACGGTGCTCATTTGGTGGCACTTTATATTGTCAAGCATTGGAATTTCAAAAGCATCTGTAGCTGCTTTATTGGTGGCTTGGGCTAGTTTACTAGCAAGCGACTCTGGTGCAGATAAGGGGAAGTGAGACTCTTATCTATAGGTCGGAGGTTGAATTACGGCATACTAAAATGGTTTCATTTTTATTTGGTGGCGTTTTTGATGCTTAGCATTGGCAATTTTCTAGCTACTCTAGCTGCTTTATTTGCACCTCGTAATAGTAATTTTTAAAGCGATCGTTGGTTAGTTTTTTAAGCGACCTAGAAAGTTTTGTTTTGCTAGGTTCATTTATGCTTTTTTTCCCTTATTTTGCCTTGTTTTTTCTTTTTAGAGTTATTTTTTTGCAGTTTTCTCTTTTGAGTTTAGCTTTGCCTCTGGAAAAAATTTTGTGTTTTTTAATGGCTGTAACTTCAAAATCTCAGATTTTAACCTTCATCATTAGCAAGGGTTTTGCAATCGGGTACTAGCATTTATCCCGTAAATAACTTTGCGTGCAGTTTGACTTTGGTGAAATTAGCCATCATAACTCTATCTCTACTCTCGTCAACCAACAGGCATTTTTCGAGCATGTACGCTTTTTAAATACCCGTTCTATTGAAGGTTTGCTTTTTATATTAATGGTCAATTTACGAATTCCAATTGATGAAAACTTCATATTTCTTTTCAGCATAAAAGCTTCCGGCTTGTGTTATGGGTTTAGTGGCCTTATTTAAATTGCGTCTATTGATGAGCGAAAAAGTTTCTCTTGCATTGGTGTGGAACATGGAAACCTTGTGTTTCAGCTCAACGGGTGTCTGTTCAAGTATCGTCAGTTTTGTTAAGAGTAAGTAAGTTTCCTTGAGATGCTAACTGCACGTTCAATAGGCTTGGCGTTTTTGTTCAATGCAAATAGAGGGAAACGCATGAAAATGTTTGTAGATCAATTTTTCGAACTTTAGGGCCCCCGTCTCATATTCTGTCGGCTAGTTTACCATGCCAAGTTTGTGTTGCATCGTGAGTGGTGCGATTTTTCTCTTAGCCTGTGTGTTGAAAGCTTTATTCATTGAAAATCCGGACTTTTTACGAAACATACAGCAGAAATCTACATGATTTTTGGATTCGTTTTCCTGGTATCCGAAAGCTTTTTTTCAACGATCGTTGATCCAGTCATTTGTTTATGTTTTTTAATTAAGGAATCAGCATCGGAGTTTTTTTTGTCATCATATTTCCTTGAAATCGCCTACTGAAACGAATACGAAGCTGTCAAAAAAAGCCGAGAAAAAACAGTTGTTTTATTCAATAGTTTGTCTTACTGCGGAAAGCATTCTTTTCCGTGTATGGATTAGGAAGGACAAATGAAAGCTTTCAGAGGAATGCTTGAAAAAAATATGACATTTTTTTCCAAATGTGACATTGTTATTCGAAAAAATGCTATTCAATATGTGGCAAAGTAAAAATAGCGAGAAAAATTGCGTTAGTTTCTTCAAATGATTTACTTTTACCCAAGCAAAGTTTGTGTGATAGTATGAACTCTTTTTTTTCCAACCTTAGTCGCAAATTTTAGTGTTCAGTTCGAAAGTGTTCATTTTGAACAATAACCACTTATCAAGTACAGCCAATGCTAAGGATATTAACATAGACTATTATATAACAAATAGCACTTTAGCTTCAAGGTATCATGGATCTGTAGCGCGGAGGTAGGGAAGGAGACCCGCGAAATGAGAGGGTTCAAACCTGGGCAGGATAGGATGTTTTTAATGAACTTTTTCGTATATTAGTTAAAATGCGTCCGCTCTATAAATTTAGGCATGCTATTAAGTAATTTTTTTTTTCATATTGACTGTTCCCGCTAATGCGTCATAATTGGCGTGTGTCACTTAGCAATTATGTAGCAGGGTAGGATATTTTTAATGAACTTTTTCGTATATTAGTTAAAGTGCGTCCGCTCTATAAATTTAGGCATGCTAGTAAGTAATTTTTTTTTCATATTGACTGGTCCCGCTAATGCGTCATAATTGGCGTGTGTCACTTAGCAATTATGTAGACTCATAATTGGTGTGCGTCACATACGAAATTTTGTAGACTCTAAGTTTTACTCTTTAAGTTTTTCCCAGTAATGTTATCGGTCATATGTTTGCTTGTGTATACGAAGTGCAACTTCGCCTGTGTTTTACTTCTTGACCGATCGCTGAGACTCAGGTGTTCCAATTTTTGTTTTCTTTCGCGAGAGCAAGTGTTGTAATCGGTAACTAGATCTTCATACTTCAGAATACTTTTCTTACACAGCCCATACACGTTTCTTCTTACTTCCAGGTTCCGATGTTTGAAATGTGATGTTTTTCTGGGAAACTTGAGTTGTCGGGCTGCCGTCTATTGTTCTGATCATTCGAAAAATGTAGAGAAACTTTGTAATCGGCGTGTTTTGTAGTTCTTTCTTTTTGCTTTCTACCCAAAATGTGGTACCACAAAAACATTATCGCAATGGGTCTAGTGATATATAATAATAAAGCCCTTTCAGTCTTGAATCTAATCAAGTTACAAGATTTCCAGTGCGAGAAAAAACTGGTTTAACTTTCTGATTTTTAGCTTGATTTCGAGCGAGTCCAGCTAGCGAGCATGCTTATTTATGCTTAGGTAAGGCCGTTTACAATAGCATATTTATGCTTCATCATAGTTTTACTCGAGTTTATTTCGTTTTTGCAGTTATATTAACACAATTTTAAGAATTAATAATTCAAAAAAATTCTGCAGAAAACTGAAACGAAAAATCGAAATTATATTTTTTTTTGATTTTTTGTTTTCTTGTTTCAAAAACTGTTGTCCAGTTTGCCTGTTTTTCTATCACTGTCGAATATGACTAAGTTTTACTTTTTTGTCCAGATCCTTTCATTACACCACACAGAAAAAACGACAACAATTTTTACGTATCACAGCATGGCTATTTCCGATTGAAACAATTTCAACAAATGAAATTAGTTCTGAATTTTCCAACTCTGATTTTTAATCTTGTTTTTCGCTCCTTTTTTGCTTAAACGATTTTAATCAATTTTGTAAAAAGTCATTTCAGCTACACATATCTGTTATTACACAGGTTTTTGACTAATGTAATTACATTAACTAAACAACTAACTGGAAAATTAAGAGAACACAATTTTTTTTTTGATTTTGTGTTCATTGATTTACGTTTTTTGTTTAAAATACTTTGCGCTCCTTGCACAGCAACGGGATATCTGTGCTTCAATTTTTTTTCGGCAAATAATTTCTTTGAGTTACGATCGTCATTGCAGTAAAATGTTTTCAGATTAATTTTTTCACAACCCATTGCGTTGAAAATTTTGTTTGAATCTATAAGTCGGCGAAATAATGGACCTGGAAATCATCCCAAACTGAAATAACATTTTTTACTCTTTGAAGATTTTAATTTTCTCTGCTCTGATTCCTGTGGTCGGTTTTTTCTGTGCTACTTGCTCTGCAACTAGTTACTGTTGTATTGTCCTAGTCTGGCAATGTTTCTGTAAGGTTGATAGTTTTCACTGAAAGCAGAGTACACAAAGTAGATAAATTGTTTCAACCATTTTATAATTTTTTGACGATCAATTTTTTGATTTAATGAATCAAACTATGCTAAAAACAACTTGATGTTACTTAAAAGAAACCTCTTTTCAAGAGCTTCGTTTAGCGCTTCCATGGCAAAAAAAGTTCTAAAAGTTTTTTTTTGAGTTCAACTGTTGGCTTATAAGACTAATTCACTCATTTTTCATGCATTTGTACAGCTCGTTTTATACATCCCGCACAAAGAAATCAACACTAATTTGAACAACTTAATTTTTATGCATTTGGTCTGCTATCCTTGTTTATTACGCTTGCGATTAGAAAGTGTTATCAATCGGGAATATACTTTTTTCGGGTAACAACTTGTTTAAAAGAATCACTTGGTACCTTGGTTTTGCAGTTTTTGCAGTTATATTAACACAATTTTAAGAATTAATAATTCAAAAAAATTCTGCAGAAAACTGAAACGAAAAATCGAAATTATATTTTTTTTTGATTTTTTGTTTTCTTGTTTCAAAAACTGTTGTCCAGTTTGCCTGTTTTTCTATCACTGTCGAATATGACTAAGTTTTACTTTTTTGTCCAGATCCTTTCATTACACCACACAGAAAAAACGACAACAATTTTTACGTATCACAGCATGGCTATTTCCGATTGAAACAATTTCAACAAATGAAATTAGTTCTGAATTTTCCAACTCTGATTTTTAATCTTGTTTTTCGCTCCTTTTTTGCTTAAACGATTTTAATCAATTTTGTAAAAAGTCATTTCAGCTACACATATCTGTTATTACACAGGTTTTTGACTAATGTAATTACATTAACTAAACAACTAACTGGAAAATTAAGAGAACACAATTTTTTTTTTGATTTTGTGTTCATTGATTTACGTTTTTTGTTTAAAATACTTTGCGCTCCTTGCACAGCAACGGGATATCTGTGCTTCAATTTTTTTTCGGCAAATAATTTCTTTGAGTTACGATCGTCATTGCAGTAAAATGTTTTCAGATTAATTTTTTCACAACCCATTGCGTTGAAAATTTTGTTTGAATCTATAAGTCGGCGAAATAATGGACCTGGAAATCATCCCAAACTGAAATAACATTTTTTACTCTTTGAAGATTTTAATTTTCTCTGCTCTGATTCCTGTGGTCGGTTTTTTCTGTGCTACTTGCTCTGCAACTAGTTACTGTTGTATTGTCCTAGTCTGGCAATGTTTCTGTAAGGTTGATAGTTTTCACTGAAAGCAGAGTACACAAAGTAGATAAATTGTTTCAACCATTTTATAATTTTTTGACGATCAATTTTTTGATTTAATGAATCAAACTATGCTAAAAACAACTTGATGTTACTTAAAAGAAACCTCTTTTCAAGAGCTTCGTTTAGCGCTTCCATGGCAAAAAAAGTTCTAAAAGTTTTTTTTTGAGTTCAACTGTTGGCTTATAAGACTAATTCACTCATTTTTCATGCATTTGTACAGCTCGTTTTATACATCCCGCACAAAGAAATCAACACTAATTTGAACAACTTAATTTTTATGCATTTGGTCTGCTATCCTTGTTTATTACGCTTGCGATTAGAAAGTGTTATCAATCGGGAATATACTTTTTTCGGGTAACAACTTGTTTAAAAGAATCACTTGGTACCTTGGTTCATAATGAATTCAAATTTCTTAGCGTCTCCGGTTTATTTAATTTGGAGGTAATTAAAACGCCTGGGATGGGACATCAAAGGTCCTGGGTTCGATCTGAGTAGGGCCTGTTTTTTTGTTCAAACGGAAATACTCCGTTTCAAAAAAATATCGGCTTAGAAATTGTCTGCTTATATTTTGTCGGCTTAGTTGCCACATCTTGGAATCGTTTTTCTTTTGCTGCGAGCCTTTTTTTTTAATGTTGCTTTCAGTGTTTGGTTTACTCCTACAATTTTTAATTTCACTCACCTTGACCTCGTATTCTCGAAAATTATCCTTCTCAAATGTGAGCTTTTAGTTTCCTTAAAAAGAACGGTTTTGAAAAACTCTCTGCATAAACGGCTACACCCAAAGTTTTTTTACTCATAATTTATGGCCCTCGTAATAGTCAAATTTTAGATTTTTGACCTTTTTGTGAATTTTTGACCTTTCTCGAAAACTAGCCTCTCAAATCTGATATTGTGGGTTCAATGGAGATCATGGGTAGTGAAAACTCGCCTGTTTTAGCGGCCATTTACAAGGTTTTTCACACATAAAGTAGTCGCCCTTGGAAAAGTCAAACTTCTGATGTTTTGGCCGTTTTTAAAACTTTTTGAATATTCTTGACAACTACCCTGCCACATCTGAGGTTTTGGGTTCAATTCAAAAAACGCGTTGTGGGAAACTCATTTGCTCATGCGAATACGCCCGAATTTTTTTTTCGTGTAAAGTTTTTGATTTTTCTCTAGAAATACGCTCCCAAGTCTGAGATTTTGGGCTCAATGGAACAAAAAGCTATAATTCTCGGAAATGTCAAATTTTTGATTTGTTAACCTTCTTTGGAGTTTTCTCGCTAGCTATCTCGCCAAATACGATATCATAAGTTTATTCCAAACAACAGGTTGTTGAAAGCCTACCTTTATAATTATCTATGTCCAGTTTGTTTGAAAAAAAATTATAGCCTTCACAGATGTTTTGAAACTTCGCGACTTTACGCGAAAACTAGTGTGCCAATTCTCAGGTTGTGTTCAATCAAGAAACTCGATTTTGGGAATCTTATCTGCTTAAGCGGCTGTAACCTGCTTTTTGCAGAAAAAACATTATGGATTTTGGAAAGTCTATGGACCGTTTTTTAGAACTTTTGACCGTTTTCTAGAAACTTATTGTTTTTTTATTGAATTTACCCATTGAAATCTGAGGTGAAAAGTTCCATTGAAGTAACGCGTGGCGATAATTTTTCCCGCAGAAGTGGCGACGCCTAAGTTTTTTTGTAAGAGAAATACTATCTCCCAAAAGAAATATTAGGTTGATTATCTCAAAGTTTTTTTTACTCTTCTCACTTAATTTAATGGAGAAACACCTAAAGTTTTGGACAAAGTCCAATTTTTGAAATCAGATTTCTGGTGCCGCATCAGTATAGCAAGTTCCAATAAAATGAAACACGTTTTTCCAGCTTTAGATGGCCCCTAGTTGTTTTTTATCGAGACATACGAAAATTTTGATTCTCCTAGATTTGTTCAACATTCAAATTTTTTCTACTGATGTTTTTTTTATGTTTGTGTTGTATTTCAAGTGATGTGAAGCTTCGCTTCGTCTCTGTGTTATAAGATTTTTTCAACGATAACCGTTTTAACTGCAGACTACCAATTGCGCACTTCAGATAAACGCCGTTTAAGCTCTCCCAAGTGTATTTGTTTGCAGATACTTGAAAACTATTTTATTATGATTTTTTTAGTGTTTTGCTTTTTAAATTATTGCAGCAAAGATATTGCAACAAAGTTTTTGTGAGATGTTTTAAATTGATTTCACATCCTTTAAAATTACTTTTTCAAAACGACGATATTGACGCAGACAAAAGTTTATTTTAGAAACACAAGTTAGCAAGCATATTCATGCAAAAAGTCCCGATCGACTTTTTAAATATGAAATGTTACAGCTTTGTTGAACCAAAAAGTTCGAGTTGATCTGTCAGAGATTTTAGTGAAAACAGGTGGTGGAGCTAACTTAGAAATATCTTAGTTCAAATAAGTTCAGTTTTTGAAGAAGATTGTTTTTTGTTACGTTATGGCGAGTTACAGCGGAAATAGAAACTAAATCGTTGATACCCAGTGCTTATTTGGCAGCACTTTTTGAAATTTTGGGTATCCTTTGGATGGATTGGACTTATTTTCAGTTAAGAATGACAGTTGGCTCCGAGGGATCCTCTTCGGGATCAGCTGGGGCAGAGAAGGAAGAGGACGACAGACGGAAGTTGAAGCGGAGACTGGATCGGCTGCCCTCTCGTCTCTTGGACTACATAGATGGCGTACAGTTCCAAGTGACAGTCCTGTTTGCTGTCTCTTTTGCAGTCCTCCTTTGTCTGGCTGTTGCGTCACATGCCAGAACCAAACTGGAGAATGATCCGGTAAAACTGTGGACGAACGGTGAGACATCTGTGATATGAATGAGCCGACAATAACTTAAATCGAATATTTGTTCTTACGAATATTTCTTATACTTTAAGTTTTTGAATTGGCAAGACAAGAAAACCGATTTGATGAAGAATCGAAGCAAAATTCGGCGACAATCTAGAGTAGTTTGTCCTGGCACGAATTTGTTTCGAAGCATTTCCTGAATCCAAAGGAGTACAGTTCAATCATGGCCATGTTTTTACGCAGGAAGGCCCGACAAACGAGCGTTCAATTTTGAAAATAAAACAGCTGATGTTCTTTGATTTCCTCATTTGGGAACAACAATCGAGCGTGCCGTTTTTGGATAAATTTCTAAGCGAAGAATGTGCGAATTTTTGTGTTACATTCCACAGATCATGTTGGCTTGTTTCAGATATCTTTAGCGACAGAAACGAAGGAGGTGTAGACGATGTTCGTCTAGACGCAACAGACAGAGAGGGAGCCATGTCTATTATACAGTACTATGACTCATCATCTACAAAGGCCTCACAGAATAACTCCATTCTGACAAGAGCCGAGCTTCTGAGGCATTATGACCTGATCAAGCAGTTGACACAAGTCAAGATCAACTTCCACGAAAAGTCAGCTTTGTTTTATTGTACTAAACCAAAAAGCAGAACTGTTTTAAGAAAAAATCGTTAATTATTATTTGTTCACATGGTTATCAGAAATCAATTTTTACTGGCTTTGATGCTTATGTTTTATAACACTGACATAGTTGATGATTTCCTCGCGTGGTTCTTTTTGCGATCAAATATTGTTTTGATGAGTTTCTGTGATTTGTTAGAGAAATTGCTGATCAAATAGCAATAAGAATCGTTGTTTGAATTTATTTTTTTTGTTTAGGCAATGGGACATCTCCAAAATTTGCGCCAAAATCTCATTTCCTATTCCTCAGCCAACGAATGAGCTGACAACACAGTTGCTTACACAGGTATCTATTTCTCAAATTTAAAACTAATGATGTTTAATTTATTAAATTCTTCTCTGAATAGTTGTTTGAACTAACCCATAAGGATCGAAGCAAACGTCGCGCTGTGTCAAAATAATGCTCTTTCAGCTGTGATGCGAGTTGTATGATCTTTCAGATAAAATGAAATACCAAGAAGTCGCTCCCTCCCAAAAAAGAGTGAAATTTCGGGAAAATTTTATAAACAAGTTTCTTAGCGATATCTGTTGTCGGAGTATGCTCTGCTGCTAGAACAGTGAACAATAACTTTTCGTTTTGTGTCGTTTTAGTTTATGAATTATCTCAATCCTTGTCTAATCACCACCCCTCTCGACTGTTTCTGGGATGGAGCATCATTACTAGACGCCACTATGAACAAGTTAAATATGTACGTCTTTTTCATATCAAACAGAAAATTTATTGTACCAGGGCCAGGTTTTAACGCTTCCCGAACCGCCATTTTCGGCAAAAGAAAAAGTTAATACAGCTGTAATTTATGAAATTTTGACTTTCTTGTTTGCTTTTTGCCCCCACAGCCGACATGAAATACTAAGTAGTATAATCTGGAATCAATTACCTTGCCTCAATTCAATTTGGGATGATTTTACGAGATTAATAAATTCGCGCATAAGCGTCGAGCATCATTGATAAATTCTTGAACATGGAGGCGAAGCAGAGCTTCGAACCACTTGCGATGCAGCAAATTAAAAATAAGAAACTAAAAAAATTTTTGTCTCAGATTTATTTGACAAAAAAGTTAATTTAGTTGTAATTTTTGAATGAGTTTCTTGTTAGGTTTACTAACCCCGCAGCCGATATCAAAGACCCAAGTAGTATATTCTGAAACAAATACATCGCTTTAATTCATTTTGGGGTATTTTTCAGGGCTAAAAAAGTTCGCACTTACGCGTTGAGCATCATTGATAAATTCTTGATTTCAGTGGCAAAACAGAGCTTCGCACCGTTTGAAATGCAGCAAATAGTAAGTTAAAGTTAAGAAAATAAAATAAATTGAGACATCGCTTTTTTATAAGAAGCGAAAAATTTCGAAGTTACACAAAGAAGTTCAAGCCTAGATTGTCCTTGAATGAGCTTATGTATGTATAAATTACTATCAAATTGATCGTTATTACACTTGCGAGAGCATGTGTCTTGTAATGGGGAACTGGACTTATCTTCCCGGAAGCTACTTCTCTTGCAAATATGTAAGGAAATGTGCTGCTTCATGTGCAGGCTGACATGCTCAGCTTCTTGAAATTTCAAATGTAACTTTTGAGTCCATATTAGCTCGGTTACTACCGATACCATATTTTATGCTGGTGGTTGTGTTTTTCGGCTGTTCTTCTGAAATTGAAACTTTCTTTTTTTCTAAGAAAATTGATTTCCACTATATTTTTTCTTCATTTTACGTTCGTTGGTCTGCAATGCAGCGTTTGCGTTGTATCTCAAGTAATGCGAAGCTCCGCTTAGCCTTTGTGCGTATATTTGTTAACTGGTTGAAGACTTACATACAACACTTGAGAGCAATTAAGTTGATCATTTGAAAAAAAAATCAAAACAAAAATTGAGCCGGACAAGAATTGAGCTGCAGACTAATCGGCGAAAAGTATAATTTTGGACTTTAATACAGGTCTAGCGAAAGATCAAGGTCCAACTAGGATTTGTAAAAAGTTGTTTTCGGGGAAAAACCAAGTTCCAGATTATAAAACACTTGCTTGCTCTTGCAGGTGTAAAGAGCTCGTAAACGATTTCTACAATTGATCGCAATAACCAAAAATCATTGCAATGGAAACATATTTTTTGCGTTTGAACCCAAGGAGTCGATCTCCTTATAATAGGATTTAATTTTTTTGGTAAAAACTATTATTTCAATAGTCGAAATTGCTCTGAATAAAAAAATAACTTCAAGCATTATTATTCCGTTACTTTTGTCGAGCTTAGGAATAATATATTTAAGTACAAGAAGTTTGCTTCCCTCCATTCTTTATGTAAAGCGCTGAGTTGTATATTTTGCATCTAGTTACATTAAAAATAGGCCAAATAGAATGGCTGAATTCAGTTTCTGATGTTTTGTCAGCCAGATTAATTCGTTACTTACGCTACACTCTAATTGAAATATAGCCCGCTTTAATTATCCTTCAGTGCCCAAAATGGCAAGTTTCAAACCCCATTAATTCAGGTTAAATACAGCTAAAATATCTCCATAACATTGAGCTCGGGCCATCATTATTTTGTCAAAAATTGTTAGTTGAAATGTAAAAATAATTGTTAATTTAGCCAAATTTCGCGAAAGAAAAACCACATTACTATCAAATAACGCCTCGTCTAACATTTTCTGTTCTGTTTAATGGAAAACAGAAAGCATGAATTTCGGATGAAAGATTTTAAGCACTGTTTTTATTGTGTTTGGTTTGACTGTTAATTTGTATTGCCTGGTATCGATTTTTAGACAAGTCAATATTACTGGGAGACAATTGACGTGGTCAAATGCTGTGCTGAGAGAAAATATGACAGAGCTGTATAAACTGTATCAAATGCCAGTTATCTTCAATTTCTTGCAAGAAGTTATCAAAGAGGTCAGTAGTATGGTTTTATTTTTCGCCTTGGGCAAACCTAAATTGAGTCGACTATGGCACTGAGCAATAAACACTGCAGCTCATGGTCCAAATGTTTCAAATAAGAGGTGAAGGATCCAGAGTTTTTCCGAGAAGAAAAGAATCCATTCTGGGCATTTTTCCAGGTTTCAAATCTTGGATTGCGGTCTCGAATCTTCAATTTTTGGCAGCCACGTCTAACGGAAAAATCAATATATACTAACTTTCAGGGAGAGCGCGCGCCGCAGAAATACGTTTTTGTGTGCTTTTTTCGAGAAGTTGCTTGTGGCACAGAAATTTTTTCCAAATTTGGTCATTGTAAGATTCCGGAAAAAAGGGCGAAAAAAATTGAAATGTCTCGCAAAATATTCTGCGCATGCCGCCGACCAAGTTTCCCTGCGCACGCAATTATATGCTTTACAATATACTAGTGGTAATTTTTTTTAAAAAAAGTTTTTTTTTCAGTGATGCATATTATTGTTTCAGTACGGACTTGGTGACATAAGCTATACAGAAAAGCGATGCCTGGATAGGGATAACTGCGAGTCTTATGCAGTACCACTCAAATCAGACAGAGAAGTAGTCGAGGCATTCTCGCAATTTGCCTCCTCCTCCGCCTGCCCTTCTTTCGCCTCCAAATTCCTCAACTCCTCCTTCGACACAGTATTGGGTTAGTTGTGACAGTATTGTGAAAAACCAGGCCTCAGTAACGGATTTGGGGAGGGAGGAGGGTTCTGAAATTCGATCCCCTGACTTCCCAAAGGGTCCCAACATTGGTACTTTTTACATCCATTTTTAGCCAACCGGACCTGAAGTTTTCTAATGGCACCTTTGAGCTTATATGTATTAAATGTGAGTGATGTTTTTGGTCTAAACTTTTCAATAATTTGTTTCTGGCCTGTTTACACGAGCATAGTTTGTGTTATAGTATGAACTATCTTTTTTTCCAACCTAAGTCACAAGTATTGTTGCGAATAAAAATTTTGTTGCGATAAAATGTGTTCATTTTGAAAGTTATTTTTGATCAATAACCAGCTATTAACTAGAGCCCATGGTAAGGATATTAACACCGAATGTTATTGTTCCGACTTTCGTAACGAAAGTGCTAAGGGTGGTTTTTTTTCTTTTGACAGTTTTCGACTTTTTAACTAACCTTTTTTAACGAAATTTTTTCATATTATTTAACAAGTATTGTTGTCCTGACCTTAAATTTGAAATCCCATTTCCCCTGCGATCATTTTTTGTTAAGTTATGAGGGGTTTAAAAATGGTCAATTTGGGTAAATGAGTGCGCGATTTTTTTCGCGCTATTAACGCGGAATCGGTGATTCAATTAATCTCAGAAATCGTTCCAAATTGATTGATGGAAGCCTATTTGCGGTAACTGATTTGTTACTAGGTGCGAAATTTTTTACGTTGTTCTTTATATGGCGTGTGGGATAATTTTCACAAAAATCTCAAAAAATTTTTTAAAATTTTTAATTTCAATTAACATTGAGTTTTTTCATGTTATTACTGCTCCATAGACCTTAAGTACTTCGCAGTCAGAAAATTCAGTGCTTCGCCCTGATACGAGCAGTTTTGTAGGACAAATAGCATTTTAGCTTCAAGGTATCATGGATTCATAGCGTAGAGGTAGGGAGGAGACCCGCAACAAAATAACAGGGTCGAACCTGGGCAGGGTCGGATGTTTTTAATGAACTTTTTCGTATACTAGTTAAAATGCCTCCGCTCTATAAATTGAGGCATGTTAGTTGGAAAGTTTTTTTTCTATTTAGCTGGTACTGCTAATGCGTCATAGTTGGCTTGCGTCACTTAGCAGTTATGTAGACTCGTAATTGGCGTGCGTCACTTCAGAAATTATTATGTAGACGCGAAATTTTACTCGATTAGTTTTTCCCAGTAGCGTTATCGGTCATATTTTTGCTTGTGTATGCGAAGTGTAACTTCGCCTCTGTGTCAAAAATTCACCTAAGGCACAGTCGTATGGTCAAACTAGGGTCTTTATGGTGTTTTGGGAGAGCTTGTAAAATCAACTTAGTCGGCCTAAAATGATCGACAAAACTTTTTGAAAATCCACCCCTTTTCCCTGGAGTTTTTCATAGTTCCGCACCTGCCAGGCCTGATAACTTAATTCAGTGAAAATCAGTACTTGCTGGGAAGCAGCTGCATTTTAATCTTACAAGAATTCCGTTTTTTTGTGTGTTAAAGAACATTTAGAAGTTTTCCATCACACATGCGCAGCGTGTAGTGTCTTATTACGTGGTCGATTTTTTCGAACCTAAGTTGTGCAAATAAAGGTCCTCATTTTTTGTGGCATCTTTGCATTTTTATATCTGGTTCACTGTTGCTCAAAAGATTTATATTTATGTATCTGATTTTTTGGTGGGGCTTGGTACTGTTTTTAAAAAAGTAACGTGTATTATGAAAATTCATGATGTGCGCTAGCGAGCTTAGAGAGTGTATTAGTATGACTACATTCTTTCCAACAACTCGCAACTGTAAGTGCTCATTTAGTGGCACTGTAGCTATATTTACGATCTTAATCATTGGAAATTTCATAGCATCTGTTTTCTGTTTTATTGTTCGTGACTGGTGTTTAATGAGCTTTAAGGGTTCGTTGCTGAGACCATTAGGCGTCCGTGGCGTCCAAATCTTGAGGTCGTCGATTCGAATCCGAAAATTAGCAAAAGTTTTACTATTTCAAGGCTTATTTTTACGCTTTCTTATTTCACTTATAGAGCTGATTTTTTTGTCGTTTGGTTGCCTTTTTGCCTTTTTCGGAAAACTGTCATTTTACCGATTTCAAACAATTGGATGTTCCGTTTTATGTTCCGTTTGGATGTTCCGTTTTATTTCGCTGAACGTTCTACGATCTCTACCATCCAAGTTTGAAACTGTAGGGGAATTTTTCACCCATTTTTTTTTAAAAATTTTTTCATTCTCTCAAACTATCATAACGAAACTGAGATAACAATCAAAAGGGTTCAATGAGGTTCAATCTAAATGTTTCTGGAGATTGAAGGTTCAGCCAAAGGTTCTGGGGATCTCCCCTGCATAAGTTGCTGCGTCCGAATTTCGGTAGAAAATGGCGTTGGCCCCAGAAAATATCAAAATTTTGAAATTCTGATCGTTTGTTGGAAGCTTTCTCTTCTTGAGAACTGCCCTGCCAAACCTGAGACTAAGAACTGAATTGAAAGAACAGATTTTGTGAATTTTTGCTGAACAACGGTTTCGCCATTTTTTCACCTTAAAAATGTAGCTGCAGAAATTTAGCTCGTTTTTTTGGAAACATTGATTTTCTCGAAAATTGTTGTGCCAAATCTGAGATTAAAGGTTTAATTAGGAAAACTGGTGGAATTTTTAGGTGGAAACAGATAGGAATTTTTTCTGCATCGCGGCTACCTCTTAGTTTCTGTAGAAAAGAATTGTTGGGTTTAGGAAACATGCATGTTTTGAATTGTTGAATATTTTTTTTTTCACTGCGAAACCTAAGATTAACTGTTCGATCGAAAAAATGTGCACTAGTAAATATCTTCATTGCGGCTTTGAGTTAATTTTTGAAGTACAGCATATTTGGAAAATGTTTCTTAGGAAAATTATTGATTTTCTTGAAAAGTATGATGCCAAATCTGAGGTTAAGGGTTCAATCGAAAAAACAAAAAAAAGAAATTAATCAATCGGATGTGTAGTCTTTTTTGCAAAAGCGTTTTTTCGATAAATTAATTGATAGGAATTAGCTGTGAACTTGGTAAATGTCCGGTTTTCGACTTTTTGAATATTACTTATTACCTTGCGAAATTAGAACGTTTTTTTTTATAAACATCAAAAAGGGTCCTCCAGCTTTAATTGGAAAATAACCGTGCCAAATCTGAGATGAAAGGTTTAATTGAGAAAACAGGTGATTTGAAAGTTTTCTGCATAGTGGCTACGTCCTAGTTTGTAGAAAACTAAAGTTGAGCTTAGGAAAGGTCCATGTTTTGAAATGTTGAACGTTTTTGAGTTTTGCAAACTTTACTGGCAAATCTAAGGTTAATTGTTCGATCAAAAGAATGTGCACTAGAAAGTATCTTCATAGAGGATTTGCCCTAATTAGCTGTGGACTTGGTAAATGTCTGAATTTTGACATTTTGAAAATTACGCTTTACCTTTCGAATATAAGTACGTTTTTTTATAAACATCAAAAAGGGACATCCAGCTTTAACTGGGATCCTAGTGCCTAAATATTGATAAGTGGTCATGGCAAATCATAGGGCGTGTGATTTAATCTCCTGGTCGGTGATTGGATTCCGACAATTTTTTCGAGTTTTATCATTTATTTTTTGCCCTTTCATCGCTTGTGTTTGGGAAACGCTGCTTTTCCTCTATGTGAAGAACGTAAATTCAATCAGACAAAAATCGGTTGAGTAAAATAGTAACAAAGGGGATTATGTTTGTGAGCCTCCCTAAATCCAATAGTAATTGTGTGGTCATCAAAGAAAACACTTGGGTTCAGGGGCGGAGTTTCTCGAGAAGCGGTAGAGACTTATTTTCCGAGCTCTCTTGAAAAAACAAGATTCTGCGCCGCTGGCGTGCTTTACAAAAAACAGGCCAAAAAAGCGTTTTTGGACATTGTTTTTTGGAAAGTTTTGATCGAAAATTTGCAAATGTTGTGGGGCGCGCTCCACGTCGAAGTTAAAATAAACTGGCGCCCCTCATAAATTCTTCAAGGTCTGTCAGCCGAAAATGGATGTTGTAATATAGTACTTAATGGACGACCCTTTGTGTGGTGAGGAGGTAGAATTCCTGCTTGTTGATAATTCAAAAACATTCAAAATTATTTGGCTGAGCCTTAATATGAAAGAAATAAAGAATCTGTTTCTCCAGTAGATATTTACATTAAATTATTACACAAAAGCTAACATCTTTTATTTAGCAATAAACGAACGAAAAGTCATGGAGAAGATAGGCCAAAAGCATGCACGAATCAAAAAAATTTACTTGAAGAAAAACTGTTTTTCTGTTAACTTAGTTTTTTTTATTATTTACTTCTTTTCGCTTGCGATTAGCAAGCAATATCAAATCGGAATATAGACTTTTTTCGGTTTGACAGCTAGTTTAACAAAATCAGTTGAATCACTTATGATACTGCTGACATGCTCAATTTTTTGAAAATTAAAATTTAACTACCGGGTAAATTAAACTGTTTTTTTTTTTGCAAACTATAGTTTTTGTGCTTTATTGGGCTATCGCTCGTCTGTTTATTTTTGTCGGCCTAGCTCCCGTAGCCCAACTGTTTTTTAAGGTTCAGCTACCTTTCAAGTTGCTTCAAGCCCATGCCTTAGACGGCAACGCTCGGGAGTTTGATTCCAGTCGAGACCTGTTTTTTTTTTCAATCAGAAAATTTCTGGCTTATTTAGAGTATTGTCTGTCTGCTTATTTGTGTCGACTTAGTTCCGCACAAATGATTTTTTTGGATAATTTGGTTTCTTTCTAACTTTCCGAAAGGTCCTTGTAAAGTTTCTAATGATGCTCGTAATTTTTAGCTGGATTCAAATTCATTTTTTTCCGTTTGATTTTAATCATAGTCATTCATATTTGCATCGCAAGTGGTGCGAAGTTCAGCTTCGCCTCTGTGCAACAATTTAGTTTCCAAGTATATAATAAGAATAAATACACTTGGTAGAACGTCAAAGGCGTTCAGCCTGTCGAGTGTGGCCTCAAGAGCAAAAATCAGTTTTGCCAGCTCTGCTCAGATAATCAAACAAAAAAGCCTTCAAGTTTTTTTAAGTTGTTTAATTTCAGGATCATTGATGCGCAACTCGAGTGGTCACGTGACCTCGGCACAACAGCTGCACACAGTGTGGCATCTTATGAACAAGAGGCAGCTGTATCTGAAAGAACGATACAGACAATACAGGTCATCCCACTGGACGGAAGAGGCCGCAGCTGAACTGCTCGAACTGTTCTACCGAAAGTTTAAAGCTGTAAGTTTACTCAAGTCAGAGTCTTTTTTTAGGGAGCTATTATCATGCGCGAAGGACCGAATGCTCGAAAAATCTCAAGCAATCAACGTCCTTAAAATTGTCCGAAACAAACTGAATTTATCGCTTATTTCTTTCGAACGTTAGAGTAAGCTCTAATTGGTTGGATAGATATTCGAGCATTCGCTCCTTCGCGCATTAGGATCCCTCCAGTTTTTAAAGACAAGCAATGCTAGTGTTACAATTGCTTTTTGCGTTGAATTTTTCTTGTTTGATTTCATCTATCTATATCTATCTATATTATCTATATATCTATATCTATCTATCTATATCTATCTATATCTATCTATCTATCTATATCTATCTATCTATCTATCTATCTATCTATCTATCTATCTATCTATCTATCTATCTATATCTATCTATCTATCTATCTATACTATGTTTAAATGCTAGTGACTGCTATCTCCCATGTTTAAGCATAATAATTTTGCATGTTTAACGAAGAATTTTTTCATGTTTAAGCTATATCATATATTGCAATGCTTAAGAAAATTTTTCTATTAGTTTTCGCAAGGTCATTAAATTTCAGTAATTTTTTTCGAGGCCAAATTAAGTCTGTCTGTCTGTCTGTATACCTGCTTTTTTTAATTTAATTTGATTATCTCTGTCTACCCTTCTCCTAATTTTTTAACTTTCATCTATATAATCTATTATATATTTAAACGCGGGCTTCATTATCTCGCCTTTTTAAGCTTTTTCAACGTATTTCTTGCATGTTTAACAAAAGAATTTTTTTCACGTTTAAGCTATATCGTATATTGCAATGGTTCAGATTTCGGTTTTCCCGTTTAAATTCAGTGTTTATTTCATCAAATTTGTAATTAGCAACCTAATAGTTGGATGTTGTCAGAGTTTTCCCAGGTTTTGCGATTCTGGCCTCCATATATGAATAACCAAATCCTTGTAGTTTTCGGTTTTTATGATTTTTTCAAAAAATTAGATTTTTGAAAAATTCCAATACGTTGAAGATCTCAATCCTGTTGTTGGGTTTTTTGAGGGTACTCTCAGGGGTTGCGAATCTTGCCCTTATTTATGGCTGCTCAAATCCTTGTAATTTTCGAGATAATTATATTTTGAAAAATTTCAATTCAGAAAACTTAGATGTAAAAAATTTCACAAAATTTGATATTCCCATCTCTGTGGTGAGGCTCTTTCTGAGTACTCTCAGGAGTTGCGAATTTCGCCTCCAAATATGACTGCTCAATTCCTTGTTGTTTTCGAGGTATGACGTTTTTTATGATTTTCTCCGAAGTTTTCAAAAAAAATTAGATGTTGAAAAATTCCAAAACTCTGAAGATCTCAATCCTGTTATTGGAATCTGTTAGGGTACTCTCAGGAGGTTGCAAAACTCGCCTCTGAATATGTCTGCTCAAAGTCTTATAGTTTTCGAGATATGACTTTTTTTTTTGATTTTCTCAAAATTTTTCAGATCTTAGGTATGAAAAATTTTATATAACTTGAAATTACTATCTCTGTAGTGAGGCTCTGTCAGGGTACTCTCAGTAGTTGTGAATTTTGCCTCCAAATATGACTGCCCAAAACCTTGCAGTTTTCCAGATATGACGTTTTTTGTGATTTTTTCAAAAAAATTTTATGAAAATTAAGTTAATTTTTTTTTCAAAGTTTGAATTTCCTAACCTGTAGATGTGGGGCTGTCAGAGTAATCTCAGGCGTTGTGAATTTGGCCTCCAATTAAGAATGCCCAAATCAATTGTGCTTAAGAGATTCGACATTTTTTGTGATTTTTTTGGAAATCTTGTAGATAACCTGTAGATGTGGGGCTGTCAGCGTAATCTCAGGGGTTGTGAATTTGGCCTCCAATTAAGAATGCCCAAATCAATTTTGCTTAAGAGATCCGACATTTTTTGTGATTTTTTTGGAGAAAACTCAAATTACAAATCTCGCGACCAAATATCAATTTCAAATCATTTCAGTATCCGAGATCTAACGTTTTTTTTTTGAAAAATTTTCCAAATATAATCTATATCTATACTATTTTTAAATGCGTGTGACAGCTATATCCCATGTTTAAGCATAATAATTTTGCATGTTGATTGAAAGTATTTTTTCACATTTTAGCTATATCATTTATTGCGTATTATTTTTGCACGTTTAAAAAAAGAATTTTTAACGTCTTAGTTATATCGTTAATTGCAATGGTTAAGAATTTTTTCGATGTTCCAGTTTAAATTCAGTGTTTATTTCATCAAGTTTGAACTACGCAACCCAATAGTGGGATTCTGTCAGGGTTTTCCCAGGTTTTGCGATTCTGGCCTCCATATATGAATAAACAAATCCTTTCAGTTTACGAGATACGGTAATTTTCGAGATATTTCTAAAATTTCTAGAAAATTTAATAAAAAAGTTTCTCAATTTTTGAATTTCCTAGCCTGTAGTCCTATAATTGGGCGCTGTGAGGGTACTCTCAGGGGTTGCGAATCTTGTGTCTGAGTATGGCTGCTCAAATCCTGGTAGTTTTCGAGATATGACGTTTTTTGTGATTTTTTCATGAAACTTAAAATTTTCATGAAACTTGAATTAATTTTTTTTGTTTAAAGTTTGAAATTCCGTAATTGTATTTGAGGTGTCAGGGTTGCGAATTCGGCCTCTAATCAAGAATGCCCAAATTTTTTTAGTTTAAGAGATTCGATGATTTTTGTGATTTTTTCGGAAACTTTCAGAAAACTCAAATTACATAATAATTCAGAAAAGTAAAAATCCCAACACTGTAGTTGTGTGCTGTCAGAGTACTGTAAAAGATTGCGATTATTGCCTTCAATTAAGACTGTTCAAACCTTGATGTTTTTCGAGAAAAAACGTTTCTTAGAAAACTTGAGGTTGAAATTTCAAAATTTGAATATCCCAACGTTGTAGTTGGGTACTGTAAAAGTACTGTCAGAGTTGCAAATCTTGCGTCCAAATGCGACTGCTCAATTGCTTTAAATTTCCCAGATGTGACGTTTCTTAGTTCATTTTAAATTTTTCGAAGAACTTAAATAAAACTTCGCAAAATTTTATGGTTCTTCAAAATTTGTATAAAAAACTTGAATAAAAAACTTTGCAAATTTTGTAATTAAGAACCCTGTAATTGGGTGCTGTCAAAGCACACTCAAAGAAGGCAGATCTTATTTCTAATATTTGCGGTTTATCATGAGTACCGGAGGTGCGTTACACGGTAGTTTTCATAAAGAGCATTTTTTGCTGCCTGGCTATTTCTATTAAATTATATAAGATAGTAAAGTTATCTAAGGAGTAGTGGCTGAGGCAGGTGACTGTTGGCCTGGGAGTTTGAGGTTCAAAGACCGAAATCTCCATAGCTGTCTTAATTCGCAGTTGATTATCTTTCAAAAACATTTTCTTGCCTTTTTGGCATCTGTGTCTAATATTGAGGAAAGCAAGTTTGAGTTTTTTTGAAAAAAATTATGGCAGAACGTGTTAATCAACAAAGTGATTCATCACTAATTTTGGTTTTCTCCCGCGATTTGAACTTGGTCTTCTGCAAATGTGTCAATCATAAAAAAAATCTTCATTTTTTGGTTTTCCTCGAATTTAGTGATGATTCACTTAAATTTTGCAAGTGAACTCAAACTTTCTCTGCTCAGTATAACGTACACCGTCCAAAAAGCAAGAAAATATTATTTGAAAGCAAATAAACGCCTAAAAACAGTTATGGAGATTTTGGTCTTTGAACTTCGAACTCCTAGGACAACAGTCGCTACCTTAACGCTTCATTTTTATCAGTACAGTTTTTTCCAATTATTTAAGCAAAATGCGCGTTTCGTCTATTATTTCCAATTTCATGGACTGATTTGAATGTTTCGATATCAATTGTTTGTAACTAGTTGTAAATAAATTGATGATTGTTGTTGTTTTCTACCTGATTTTGGACAAATTCTTCTTCTTCTTTGCACAATTTCTGGGCAAATTTGCTTTGCGTCATTTTTTGCAAAGCGTGATTTTTTAAGCGATGACTGTTTTGTTTCTAATTTATTTGTTTAGCTTGCTTGTTTTTTAGTTATATGAGGTTTCAATGTTGAGTGGTAAAAGGTCTTTGCAGCTGAGTTGGTTAAGACGTTCGATCGTTAATCTGCAGTTGCTCGGTTGAAGTGAATTAGCTTTGTTGTTCACCCTCAACCACTTTCAGGATCCTTCTCACTTGATCTACCGGTAATGAGGGTGCTTTTGCACCCGAAGATTTGAATTTGAATCCTAGTCGGACCTTTTTTTCGGGGCCTAGGAAATTAGACGATAAGCAAATTAGACGGATGCTACTAAAACGAAATGAGACAACATATTTTTTTGCAGATCTGGCATTTTAGACGTCACTATGAAACGGAAAGGGCCAACAAACTTTTTTCTCAAGAGCCAAGTTTCACAAATACAAGAAGAACATAAAATGTCAATACCTATCAAAACAATTAATTTAAATGAACATAAAATGTTAAATTCAGATATTACAGGAGAGTTTTGAACATAATAAATTATGCATGATTGACATGTAAAATTTTTGGCCACCGAAATTTAACTGTTGTCTGCAAACAATTTTTTTTCTCTTGCAATTTGTCTGCAAACAATTTTTATCTCTCTCAATTTCGTCTATTTTCTCATAATTTCAGTTTTGCAAAATCGCCTAATTTCCTTTTAAGTGCCTCCGTCTAATTTGCTTATCGTCTAATTTCTCAACCCCCTTTTTTATTATGTATGAAATTGAATTCTGTTTGTTTGTCTGCTCATTTTTTGTCGGCCTTGTTTTCATAACATGGAATTTTCTTCTGTTTGAATGATTGAATTATATTGACATTCGTTCGGTTATTAGTAAGTTTACCAGCTTCGATTGTTCGATCTTTTCAATTTCTATAATTTTTGTTGTTTTTCAGTCAAATGGTTCCGGCTAATTGGTTTATTGGCTCAGTCACGTTATTTTGCATAGCTTGAAGGGCAACATTTTTTAAGCAGATGGCAAAGGGTTAAATTTTTAAAGCTTTATTAAAAACTGAAAAAATGGCTTAAAGGGCGTCTACACGAGTATTGTCGGCTAAGTAGCCGCTCGGTAGATGAAAGCTTATTATTTTCACTTTGCTTTTGTTTTAAATTTAAATTGATATTTGTTCTCGTAGATTGTGGAGAATGCGAATTCGGTCATCACTGATTCTCGGCTGATGTCGTCTCGTCGGAGCAGTCAAACTAGTCAATTCATGATATTCTCTGCTCGTAGCAGTCTTCGTGAAACAGTTAACTTCCTCGAACACAATCAAATCTTTGTACTACTCATGGTTCTCGCAATTATGTCACTACTGTTGTTGGCTTCAGAAAAGTACTTCATCAATTCAAAGTGAGTATTTTTTGGCTAGTTTATTATGACTATAATCGGATGAAACTAAATGAAATTATGGCAACAAACAATTTAACAGATACATTCAATAGACCGGTCAAACTCATCGCACAGTCTTTGCCTAAAATCGCAGCCCTTGAGACACACAAATGTAGTCAAACGTGGATCTAAGATTTTTTTTTTGCGAAAATGAGGGCTGCAGGGTTTTTCTTTTCAAAATTTTAAAAATCTTATATCGGCTTTTTTAAGGTGGACTAAAATTATCTGCCAAACTTCCAACTCAAAATTGGTATATGTTGGCGCCAAATGTGACTTGAAGAAAAATTTGAACTGAAAAGCGACATCATCACAATTTTGAACACTGACCGGTTACGAGCTTTTGGGCCCATTATTTGAAGCCATTACCTGAGACCAGTTCCGCACAACAGATGTTTAGATTTTGAGAGCTCTTGGAGTTTTTTTCTGTCCGACCAGACAAGTTAGAAAGGAATAATGACGTAGGCTGGAATTTTTTCACTCGACCTAGTTTTACTCCCAAGCAACGTCGTAGGGCATACATTGATACCATAATAAAGTCATTTCAGTCATTTGGATATTAAGATTTTTGAATTTTTGTTTAATACGTGCAGTTAAAATGTTATCAATAGACATGTCAGTGGTGAAAAAGGTTGTATATTTTTTCGTCGTAATAGAATAGTTGTATCGGCGTAATTAACGTTTTTTGGGGTCATGATACGCTCTTTGCAGGCGAGGACAGAAGCTAATGATTTGCCACATTATTGCCACAAAGATAGGTATCGAATCTTATGGACTTCTACCCGCGTTCGGCATTTTTAGTGCAGTTTAGCGTTTAATTTCTTAATAGTACCTAAGATATGCACAAACTTGTTTAGAATGGCTATTTTGCTTTCAAGTCCTTGTTTCATTTCTTTTGGTTAATGGCTAGCGTAGAACGGCTATTTTGCTTTCAAGCCCTAGTTTCATTACTTTGGTTAATTTTAGATTTGTTTTTTTTAAATGTCAATTAACGACGTGAAGACACTTGTTTAGGTCACCTTCATTTTTTGTAGAAGTTTCGAAAGTTACCATCAATTTTAATTTTTCGCCGTTTGACTTTTGATTTTTAAGTTCAATTCACAATAATATGCTTACACCTAGGCAATTTACGCTCTCCAATAACAAAATATGCAAGTTGCGGGCAAAATTTGATGGAATTTTAGTTTCAAAAATGGATTTTAATCATTAGATTTCACAGCAGAATGAAAAGTTATCTTTTGATTCAATTTTCTCAAATTAGGTTTGTTTTTATCAACAAAGTCTCAATCATAAAATAATCTTGAATTTATAAGACTTTTATGACCATGCATTTGTTCTTTGAAAGGTTCCGTTTTTCCTTTTTTAAATTTTATTGAAACTTTTTGAACTGTTTTTATGATGACAATCCAGAGAGGAAAGAGAGTTTCGCACTAGTTGTGCTACATCGCAAGCGTGGCATCGTAAGCTAGCTGACAAAAAATAAAACGAAAGCCTTAAATAAGAAAAACAGAAAATGAATACAAGATCTACCAAGTTTTTCATTCATTTTCCAAGTTCACTTTGAGTTAAGTTATTAATATGACCATTCACTTTTGAAGTGTTAACTACGTCGGCAATGCTTTAACGGACGCACATTGAGCCGAAATAAAAATTATTGTCGAAAAAACTTTGACCAATGAAACATTTTGAGCAACAATTATGTTTTCATGACCACGCCCAAAGGTTCTGCTCTAAGGAGAAAAGGGACATAAATTTTTTTTTACTTTAGATTTTTTGATTTTTTTTCGTTGTGAAAGGTTTGTGTTGAGATATTTTCTGCTTTGTTACCGCTTGGTTATTATAAGTTCAAATTCAATCAACCATCTGGAGTATAAGTAGCCCAACTGCTTGAGACCGCAAAAGGTTGCCGTTCGAATCTGGTCGGGACCTGTTTTTTTTTGCAAACTAGAGTATTTGTGCTTTATCGGGCTATAGTTCGTCTGTTTATTTTTGTCGGCCTAGTTCCCGTAGCCCAACTGTTTTTTAAGGTTCAGCTTTCTTCCAAGTTGCTTCAACCCCCATGCCTTAGACGGCAACGCCCGGCAGTTCGACTCCAGTCGAGACCTGTTTTTTTTTACAATCAGAAAATTTTCTGCTAATTAAGATTATTGTCGGTCTGCATATTTTTGTCGACTTAGATTCAGTGATTTCATAGACAAACTTTTAATTTGTTAAAAGGTCTGTTTCCGAGTTGATAGCGCTTGTTAGTCATAAGCGCAATCAAGTGTGAAAAAGATTTCTAACGATTTGAATGATTTTACATCAAGTTGTTTACTTTCCTCGGATTTTTTGCTTGCGTTTTTTTCGCACCTTCTATCTGCTCAAATGGGAGACAATTACGATCGACCAAGATTCAAGTAGATGTGTTGAGATAAATATGTCAACGTCAACTATTGTTTCTTAAAAGTGGCTGTTTTCGCCGACATTTGATTTATGATAAGGGTAGGCTTTTGTTAGATGACGTATCTTTTTTGCCTGCATTTAACTGCTAGTCTTGGCCGCGGATGTGTAGGAAATAACAATGTCAAGGTTTTAGCTGACATTTTTGACTTGTTTTGATTCGGCTTAACTTTTCTCTGTTAAAGTTATATCTAAAAATTTGCCTCATTTTTGAAGGTTTGGACTGCACTAGATAGTATTGTTCGTATATTTGGAAAAATTTGCCGAAAATAAAGGCTTGCAATACTGAACAAATTTTCAAAACCGAAGTTCATGGTGGCAAATGTTTTTGAGGGGTTCTTGTGAATTTTTGTTTCTTGTGTAACAGGCGGTTTTTTTTGAGATCCTCGTTAACTAATAGCAGTGAGAATCTGAGCCAATTTTTTGACAACTGAAGACTAAACCAACCAAGAAGAGCCGATTGCTGTGCAAGTACCACAGAGTTCCGAGAATAGTTATCGATACAAAATATCAATTTTTTAGGCGAACGGTTGGGTCCGGATATTATTAATGGCTTTAAAATAGCTTAAAGACAAATGATATTTTCTTTTTAATTGCATTTTGAAATCTGAATCATGACCAAAAAGGCCTTTATTTCGTTTGATGCTTCACCCCGTAGATGCTTTCTTTGAGGTTACTAAAATCTCGCGAAAACAAATACCCTACGCCAAAGTTTTTTCTTGTGATATCCCGATTTGCTGTAGGCTAGTGTCATGACCTGCTAATGTTTCAATGACTGTGTTTAGAAATCCATTGGCCTCAACTTCTGCAATGCAAGTTGTTGCAATCATGCTGTCCTTGTTGCCACTGCTGGTACCTTTGACAGTTAAAGTACCACATGTCTCCTTCAGTCCAGAGTCCGTGCAGGTAAAAATTCTTAAATTCTCCAAGTAACTTGCACGCCAAACACGAAAAATGACTCATTAAAATTGCAACAATTGTCGGTGTCGTAAAACGAATAAATAATTTCACAAGTAACCTGTTTTGATATTATTTGATGCTGTGTTTTGAGTGATTATTGGCTATTTTATGAGTATGCTTGGTTTTATTTGCGGGAGCGGAGGTGGAGTGGCTAAATCTCCGCTTGTCAATCGGGGGAGCTATGCCCGCAATGATCCGTGCTCGTTGCTTGAAGTCAAGAAAGCCATTACCAAGAAAGCTTCGAGAAATGACCAAATTATATTTAGTTTTTAACCAGGGGCACAACAGTTATTTTATCTATAAACAGAGATGAACAGCTCGTATTTTGATACTTTTCCTTGTGGATGAAGCGTCTACTTAGTTTTGACTACTTGAAACCTCGGCATCGTCCCAATTTGACTGAGATGGAAAAGAGCCCCAGTTTGGTTCAATTTAGGTGACAGTGTTGCTGGTACTTCCAATTGCCTACTACGTCGTGCTATGTGAGAGGCTTCTTTCTCATGGGGTAAGAGTCGAAAAGTTCATTCCGAATGTTTTTGATTTATTTGGATTCTTTGAAAATATTCTCGTTTTATTTAGTGTATAGCAACAAGAAGGAAATGTCTCACGTGGCCTTGCTTTTACGGCGCTTTATCAATTCTGCCACCTCTTGCTGTCTTGTTTGGGTTGTACTCTGTAGACGGTAAATACCAAGCTTCCACTTAAATTTGAACAAACGCTTAGAAAACCAAGTGTAGTCAATTCTGTCGTTCCTGTGCAATTTGTATTTTTTTTGTATCTGAAGGGAGAAGTTAGAGGGTCAAAACTAAGTTGGGAAGCATAAGTAATGGCTTCAGTTGAAAAACGTTATTTTTCAAAATTCATAGCAAAAACTAGCAACATTTGAAATTACCTTTTTTGGGGCTGTGAAAACGCAAGTTGACTTAGTTCTTTTTGATATTTTCGGTGGTGGGAAAGCGCGACCATTCAATTTAATAGCTTAGAAGTTGCTTTTAAGCTTAAAAATTGCTCGACACTTAAGTATCGGTCGAATCTCGATTGAAAGGGCTTTATTGATATCACTCGACCCCATTTGACGTTTTCTGTACTATCTGATTTTGCTCGGAAGAGAAATCTATATATAACTAAAAACTCTTTGCTCTCTGTTTCAAGCGCTTTTGTTCTAATTTTTTGGCAAAGAAAAATATGGAGACCGGTTTTTCTTCGATACCGAGATTAAATTTCCGGAATTTGTCATTTCAGGCTGAACAAAAGAGCTGAAACATTAGTGGCTTGACATTAGTTCGGTGGTAGTGAAATTCGAATGCATTTGCTAAAACGGGGATAAATTGATAGTTTCGAATTGCCAGTGGCGCAAAAAACCGCGAATTTTTGAGCAGTGATTTTATTTTTTAGTTTTCCTCGTGGAATATATAAATATTTTTTGCCTAATTTTTTTTTCAAATTAGGAAGGTTTATCAAAAAATTCAAACATAGAAGGTTTGGAAATTCACTAGCTTGAGCGTTATTGTTCCGACTTTCGATACGAAAGTGACGGAATATTTGTGCTCGGGGTGGGTTTTTTTTTCTTCAGACAACTTTCGACTTTTTAACTAGCCATTTTTGACGGATTTTTTTTTATATCATTCAAAAGGTATCGTTGGCCTGAGCTTAAATTTGAAAAGATATTTCACCTGTGATCATTTTTCGTAAATTTATGAGGGTTTAAAGGTTGCCATTTTGACCAATTTGGGACAATTAACGCGCGATATAATTCGAGCTATTAACGCTTAAGCGGAGATTTAATCCGTCTTATAAATCGTTCCAAATTGGTTGAAAGAAGCTTATTTGCCATAATTGATTTGTTACAAGGAACGAAATTTATCTTTTTGTACTTTATATGGCGTGTGGGGGGATGATTTTCATAAAAAATTTCAAATTTTAGAAAAAAAAAGTTTTTCAATTTATCTATTTCATTTATTTTTTTTATGTTGTTTATGTTATTACTGCTCCATAAACGTTAAAAGGCAGTCGGAACTTTCAGGGCTTCGCCCTGATACGAGCAGTCTTGTTTATTTTTCTAACAAATTCCAAAATTGAAATACGTTCAAAAATATCATTTTTCGGTTTCCGTAATTATTGTCGCTTTCCCAATTTTCTGTTGGCTATATTTTGTTGTACTATGACTTGCTTGAAAAAAAAAACACCTGAATACAAATTTTTTTCTCATATTTTGTGATTGTAACACCAAGATTCCGCAAAATAGTTGCATGTGTGAGGGGTAATCGAAACAATGATATTTTTTGAGGTCGTTTTAAAAAATTAATTTGAAAAAATTGAATTTATCTTTGTATTAAGAGTCATGAACGTAGTGAATACTCTTATATGGGTCATTGTTATTTTTGGTTTGTTTTTTTTAGGAAAAAGGCCTAAAACTTATTCTCGCCGAAATTTGAGTTTCGCGGTATGGCGTTTGATTTCTTTTTAAGTTAACTTCATTTCGTTTTTGAAAGGGTGGAAGATTCCACTATCGAACAGAAAAGTGTGTAAAGTTCTCGAAAAACGTGATCGACTTCTAGTTTCCAGAATTTAATTTTCTGATTTCCCAGCGAAAAGCGATAAAAAATGTTACGTATTGATCTTGTTTTCTCAAACTGGGTTGATTTTATCAAAAAATTTCCAATTATAAATTGCTTAAGAAATTCAACTAGCTTTTAAGGCATTTGTTTTTTATTTGATTTTCGAAATTGAATATTTTTTAAATTTGAAATTAAGATTTTTCTGTTGGCTATGTTTGGAAAGATCTGTTGCGCGGCTTTTTACTTTATTTTTTTATTCTGTTTCTCAATTTTCCTCACTCGGTTGTTATGTGTAGTGATTCGCTCTGCAATCGTTAGCACTGCGATATTTGTCTTCATTTCACCGCTACTGGGTATAGTCGTAGCGAGGTCCATCCGCCTCACAACCGCTGCTGCATTTGCAAAATACGTCAAGTATCGTACGCGAACTAGCGTGAAAAGGTTCGCATTAATCAACTTGTGAAGCATGGTTTAGCTTGTGTAGTTTCTGTAATTTACCTCAATGAACGAAATTTATTAACATGGATACCAAAAAAACTACTTTTTTTAGCATGCGGAATTTGATCACTCACTCTGTTTAAAAGCGTATAGCTGAGTCGCACCTGTTGATGAAACAGGACGAACGATCTCTAAGGCTCATTAAAAATCTATTTTTTTTTTTGAATTTTATCTGATGTGAAGTGCTTGTCTTAAGAATAAGACACGCTTAATTTAAGAAGTTTTTTCCTTGCTAAAAGATTAATTTCATAACATCGGTTTACTATATAGCATGGAAACGCATTATATTAACCAACTATAATGAATGAAAGATAATTAGGAGGATAAAAAGTAAACATCTTTTCAGTTTAACTGGAGAGGAAATAGAAAACAAATCATCCCGATTTGCTTCAAGCAAAACTGGTAACAGTAACTCGATCAAGAAGCTAAGCGAAGGGCATGATTCAGTGACATCACAGGGCGATCAGGTATCAAACGGAGCTACCGTGCTGAACGACTTCAAGCGAGATCCGAGCACTACAAGTGCATCGCAATCACCAGGATCCTCGACCGGAAACAAAGTGTCGCTTTACGAACTGGGCATCCCGCAATCGTATATAAGACCACACTGCTCTAAAAGGAGACGACATCGCCATAGGCACTCGTATCACAGGAGATCACATGTGACTGCATTGGGCAGTAGAGTATACGACAATATTTACTCCGAAGAGCAGAATGTGGGTAGTCAAGATGAAGGAGACTTCAAAGCTATACAGTTCGTCAATGAAACCGCAACAGAGTCAAAAGATGTGGTAATTTTTAAATGGTTTTATGTAGTTTCTTTTTATTTCATCAAAATAAAAAAGCATCGAACTTCTTGGGTTTAAGAATAAGATATGCACGGTAAGCGGGATAAGCGTGAAATTAGCGTTTTTTTGGAAGATTTGAGCTTGAATTAGTGGTATCGGGTGAAATAGTTTTTTACACAAGCTTCATTCTTTCGAATTGACTCATCGAGTTCGTTTTAAGAATGTGGAACACAAGGCTGAACCCGTGTCTTCAAACCCTCCGTCGCCTAAAGAAGGGGCGGAGAAAGGGCGGGAAGAAGAGCAGAACCGTGCAGCCGAAAGTGCCCCGAAAAGGAAATTGACGAGGACGCACAAGCTGCATTTGAAAGCGCCTGCCGCGTCTACTTCGTCATCTTCATCATGTTGTCGCTACTATTACGGGCACTACTGTAGTAACGCTAGGTGGTCTCGAACATGGAGAAAAAGGCGATCTCGCAAACTGGCCTTGAAGCGACGCAGCACAGAAATGATCAAGACAAAGCTCTTCGCTTATATGCTTAGGTGGTTTTCATTTTTCTCGTCTAAACAGTGCCAGGTATGTATTTGAGACATTAATCTTTTGAACTGGGGAATAAAATTTTCTGTTTTTATTTTCTTTTTTTTTATGACAATGCTTTTGTCATTTCTAATTTTAAAAGTTCAAAAATATGAGAAATAACCATGTTTTTTATGCTAAGCTCATACAGTCACGGGACATAGTTTTTTTTACGTTTTCAAGGGTCTTTTTCACGTTTTTAAGGATCAACTTATTTGAGACTCTAATATAGGTCGAGATGATTGTTTTTTTTTCAGGAAAAGTCTAAAATGCTCTTATAACAAACATGCGTTCATACTTTATAAATGCGCCTATGAATGCCCTTAGGTATATATGCACTTTTTGAGCTCGCTTTAAGTTCATTTGCTAAAGGGTAGGCAAAATGCACGCTCCAGTTATGAAAACTGAAATGGCTTGAAGAAATGTGATCGATTTCTACTTTCCAAAGGTTTCCTTATAATCTAGTTTTCTGAAATTGGGTTATTTTTATCAAAAAACTGCGCCAATTATAAATTGCTCTCTGAGGCCATATGTTTTTTTAATTTTGAATTTGAAAGTTGAAGTTCTTTCAGAAAAACGAGTCAATTTTTTTTCTTTGAATTCATTGGCTCTTTTCCAACTGTCTGTTGGCTATGCTTGTCAATTTCTCTGCAACTCTTTAAGATATAGGATTCAAAGTTTGACATTTGCTAGATGAACTTATTTAGAAGGAGCCAGTTGGATCGAAAATTGAGAAATCTCAATTTAAAGGCGTGAAATAGCCAGTATATCATAACTAGTCTCAGAGGTGTTCTTGCCGTGGAATAATACTTGCAAACAACCCGATGAGCTTAAATTGATTGTGCCGCGGAAAAGCGACAGACAAAAGACGGTCGTCCGGCTCAAAAAAACGGTGGTTTCTGTTTTGACGATACAGATATAAAAGGTTTTAGTAGTGTATACCAGAAAGTGGGTCAAATATTAGAGACAGCATAACTGCTAAAGTGAATCTTGTACACGGATTGGATTAGTCATTTTTCCAATATATTAGCTGAAACAGTTTTTTTATTAGCTTACTTCAATAATCAGCGCGAAATTACTTGCAACTTTTTAGTCGTTTTTGATGCCTGAACAAGTTACTCCTTCAGTTATTTTGTGTCTCTTTTCAACGCATAAATAGTAAGTCAAGCTGATCAGCTTCTCAAAGAATCAATTTGAGTCTAAAAATTGCCACTGCAGGAACAACTCTGAAAATAGTTATGATATACTGGCTATTTTACGCTTTCACTACAAAACTTCTCAATTTTCGATCCCCCAAGCTCCTTCCATTTAATTTCATCTAGCATGTGTCAAAGTTTCAAAGTTTTCACTAATTTTTTGACTGGCTCCAAAAACATTAATGGGCGGCTTTCTAGGCGCGAATGAAGAATTTTATCACTTATTTAAATCGTGTGGTTTTCTGTTAATTCATCTAATAAAGGAAGGCAAGTTACGCTCTCTGATTACGAAATAGAAATAGCGCAAAAAACTTGATTTGAAGATTTCCCACTGGAATTAAAAAATGCCTATTGATTCTATTTTCTGAAATTGGGGTTGTTTTATGAAAAAAATGTCAATCATAAAAGATTCATGACATTCAAAAGCTTAATGTGGTAGTTATTTAAAGAAAAAAATTCGGTAGTTGAAAAAGGTTCATTTTTTGGTTTGTTTGAGTTCATTGGCATTTTTCTATTTATTTGGCTTGTTTGAGTTCATTGACATTTTTCCAAGTATTTTTGGCTGTGTTTTCAGGTCTCTATCGCGTGCCTGTTTGTTGCGTGTGCGTTGCTGAGTTGTTATATAATACCAAACGCGAAGACTGGACTGGAAAATGAGACTGATTTGATCAACTCAAACTCTGTGGCGTATTCCTTTGTAGAAATGATCCAGAACAATTTCAAATTACCGATGACGATCTCGGTCGCAATACATTCTGAGGTGAGGGCTGTCTCTGATTCAACTTGTTTTAAACTTTCAATTTGGTTTTAACTATATATTTGATTTCCAGCTGATTGACAAAAAACAACCAATTGGGATAGTATTTTTTTATCAAAGATGAGCCAATCATAAAATGTTTTAAAACTCAAAGAAATGAAATGTTACTTGGGTTAATACCGTCACTCTGATTATTGATTGTCGGATTGTTGAACAAGCATAAGATTTTTGCGATAATTCGATGTTTCAAACGCGTAGAATGTGGATTTGGCGGATCCGAAGATGCAACGTTCATTGACCAATTTGGACAGCGAAATCAGAGAGATCTCCATTGTGGATTCCACGCCAGATGAAGAGCTGTGCTGGATTAAACGATTCCGCCAGTTTTTGTCCGGTAAGATTTTTGTAACATCAACTGCCATTTTTTCGGCCTTATTTTTTGTATAATTTTTGTAATTGAAGAGCCCTAGTAAAAACTGAATCCAAATTAACTCGTGTTTTAGTTTTTGTACACTTGCGAGAGCAAGTTTCTTGTAATCGGGAATCAAGTTTTTTCACGTAAACAATTTTTCTTACAAGTCTAAGAAATTGAACTTGCTTTATCATTGGATCTTAACAACTTTCAGGTTCCTTCCCACTTGGCCTGGAAGTAACGCAGTTGCTTTTGCACCCTAAGGAGTTCGAGTCACGTTCTAACCTAGGTTTTTCAGCATGTGTGAATTTGAATTATTTTTCGGTAAAGATTGGATGGTCGGGCTTTCGTGTGTCTGCTCAAATTTTGTCGGCTTAGGTGCCACATAACGGATTTTTCTTGTGCTGCTACCAAGTGTTATTGCAGTTCAAGTGTTGTTCATTGTATTTTCAGTTGCTTAAAGATCAAACATTGACGTTTTTGTTTCCACTTCGTAAGTTTCTTTTCGGCTCCAATTTAAAACATTTACATTAGGAGTTAGTGAGCGTAATTTATTAGTACGACTCTACTTTTTTCATCTTAACTCGCAAATAAAAGTGCTCATTTGATAAAACTTTTGCTTTAAGCACAATCTGCAGCATTGGGAATTTCATAGCATCTGTTCTCTGCTTTATTTGCGGGGAGTGTAAGCGGCCGTGGCACAGTTGACAGGACGTGAGACTCCTTATCTATTGTTCATGGGTTCAACGCCGCATGCAGCACTAGTTTGGTTTATGTTTAGTGGCTTTTTTTTGCTGCATAGCATCGGTAGTTTTTTAGCATCTATAGCTGCCTCATGGGTGGCTGGTGTTAGCAAAGTTCAAGAGACAGCGGCACAGATGCGAGACCGTGTAAATGTAATAGCCTTGACGCTGTATATTTTTCTTTCTTTTCGTTTTTTCGCTCTAAAGCTTTAACAGAAGTGGTGGGAGCTTCATGTGCTACTTGCCCAGCGCTACGATATTCATGTTCAATTGGGATCTGTGAAATCGTTAATTTACCTCCCTCATTATGAATTAGAGACAATTGAATCAGAAAGAATGTGTTCATTTTGCAATTTAGTTTCATTTTGATTGCTAAGATCATGAAATTATATCAATCTCAGCCGTTGATTGTTTTCAAGACGCAGAATCGGAGATGCAGCGTAAGGCTGACAACTCAAGCGAGAGAAATATGAGAAAATTGGGGGATGTTTTGTCGAAACAATCTGGTAGTCGCTACGATAAACTGGTCAGTACAGATGGTGTCATAAAACCCATGAGTTTCGACACTTTTCTTACCGCTTGGCACAGTTACGATCCAAAAGGAGTGTTCAACACGCAGCCAGGATTCAGACCCATGCCTCCGCCTATACCTGTCTCTTATCATAAGTCAGGTTTTCTTGACTTCAGTAAGTATTTTAGAACAGCTGGAATCCTTGAATACTTATATGCTTTTATATTATCTATTACCGGATCTAGATTTGTTTCATGGGGGACGGGTGTTTTATTTTCGAAAAACTTTCGAAATAGAATTTTTTTGTTATTTTCAGGCAGATCAAATAGATTTTCCGAGCTCTCCAAATACACAACAAAGACACTCTTGGATCCTTGGTGTTTATTTACCAGCGACATTTATATACTAGCCAATGTATCAACCATCTACCATATAAGTAATCCTATAAAGCGCAGAGCTGTTCGGAACGGTAAATGTTATCTAAATCAGTTAATATGTAAATCAGCTACCGTGAAATAAACCGAAAATATTGATTAATGATGAGGGTACTTCCGATTTCCAATATGCTTATATGATACCGCTGAGTGGAATAAATTGCAGGAAAAAGTTATTGTTAACCGCTGCTCTTGCGTATATTATAAGTTGACCTCTGCGGTCCTCTGAACTAATTTAATTTCTAATTTCTGGTAAACTTAAATTTGTTTTATGCTAATGTTTGTTGGTGACTTATGGAGAAATTTTAATGGAGAAATTATTCTTATGGAGAAATTGTTCTTTTAAATTCTTCTTCGATGGCTTGTTTTAGTTCCCCGTGCTGACCCTGTGAGGCTGTCCTTTTTTCACTACAAAGTATCCCGACTGAACGAGTTGGACGACAACCACAACGTCCTCCACGCCATCTCCCACCTGCTCACCATCTGCGCCAAGTTCAGCCAAGACGGACTCAAGGTCACTTTCATTCCTGAAACAAGCATAGTTGGATCGAATAATTAACATTTTATTTATGAATAATTTTGTAAAAATTTTAACGGTTTTTGGCGAGATTTTTATTTCGCGGTTGAGTTTGCATACGAATTTTGTATCTGACCCTAAAAATTTTTCTTTTTAACTCATTTCTATGAGACCTTCAGTTCAAATTTTTTAGAGTTAGAAAAAATAGACGTTGAAAACTCGAGAAACTGTTTGTTTGAAATTTTGCATCGAACTTATTTTTGAATTGTACCTTCATAGAATGTTTTCCTGTTTGATTTTTTTTGTTGTTTTAAGCACGTTTTAAATTTTTTTTTCAAATTAAAAATTTTCGAAATGTTTTTTTTTTCTATTTAAAACCGTGCTAGGAATGGAATGATCTGATGTTAATAGATTCTTCCCTCGGGACTGATCCTGTTCCCCTGGTCCCAATTCCACGATTTCAACCTCGTCTTCTTCGGAGTGGCTGCTCTGACTGTACTGACCGTTCCAGTGCTCCTCTACACAGTATTCAGAAGCATGCGACTCTCGACTATCATGGTTAGTAAAATGTTTTGTTGGTATCTATTGTAAAGTGTTAAAAGTTGGTTTATACTTGTTTGGGTCGTGTAATTTTTGGCAATTTTTTTTTCAGTCCAAACTCAGTTAAAAGTTTCTTCATGCTCAGTTTTGTTGTTCCGACCATTGAAAATGGGGAGGAATTTTGTATTCGGGTGTGTTTTAGTTTTTTTTCTACGCAAAATCAGCTACCACAAATAATCATCGTACTGGGTTGAGTGATATCATATTAAAGCCCTTTTAGTCGTGATTTGAACTTATATATCATATTAAAGTGATTCGAACTAATATATCATATTAAAGCCCTTTTAGTCGTGATTTCTTAGAAATTCTTCCAGTGTTGAGAAAAATCGGTTTGAAGTTTTTGACTTTTCGTCTATTTTCGAGCAGTAAAGTGGTCGAGTAGCGTTCGTTATGTATAAAAGTTACCAATTTAGGCTCAGGATTATTCAATTTTGCTGAAAGGAAGTTAGTTTTAGAAGCCTTATTTAGCACGTTTCTGGCAAAAAGAAATTTTTCTATAATATTTGAAATTTAATATAATATTATGCAAAAAAGTTTCATATTCTTTAAATTATTTTTTTAAAGATAATGGTAGTCGAGTATGCCTCATTCACTATGTTTCTACGCGTTTGTATAATTCAATCATCTCACGGCTTACAAGAAAAGACTTGAAGAAAGTTAAGAACAAAAATATCTTCTGAGAATGTGGTCGGAACATTCTGTGCTACTGGCACAGCAACCGGCTATCCTTGTTTTGATTTATTTTGAAGTCAGATTTTAGCTAATGGGAGGCAAATTACGCTCTCCAATAGCAAAAATTGAAATGATGCGGAAACTAAAAAGTGTTCACTTTTTAGTGAAACTTTTGCTATAATCACGATCTGTAGCAGTGGAATTTCAAAACATCTGTTCTCTGCTTTATTTGTGGCTAATTTCTCTATTCATTATCTCCACGGTGCATAAGGCTGCAGATCGAATCCGAAACCTAGCCGAATTTTTACTAAATCGAGTCTTATTTCTCTTTTTTCTTATCGCACTGTACAGAGCTGCTTTTTGTCGTGTTCTCGCTAGTGTTTGCGAAGCGAAGCTTTGCCTCAGTGTGAAAAAGATGGGTTGTATTTTCAAGAGTCATGAACGTAATGAGTACTCTCATATAGCTTTCGGTGATTACGAAATAATAAATCGGAATTGGCGCGAAGAAAACGACGTGAACGACCCTGGTCTTTATAATTCTCAGCGGAAAAAAATCATATTAATCCTGTTTTCTCAATTTGGGTTAATTTTTATCGAATAAGTGTCAACCAATAATTATTCTTGAAATTCAAAGAGCTTCAAGAACATGTTTTTTTAAATTTGAAATTCCTTGTCTTTGTTGTCGTGTTCCAATTTTTTCCATCCAATTGTCAGTTGGCTGTGTTCAAAAAAGTGGTAATCACATAAGATTCTGTGAAATTATGAATTGTCAAAGAATTAATATGAAATATTTTTTGATGAATATTTTTTCGGAAGTTATAATATTTTTTTAAAAAATAATCATTTTTTATTTTAATGAGTCGCTGACTCTACGTTCTTTTAATGAAAAGTTTTATTATTAAAAAAGAGGGTGAAGTACTGAAAAAATGTTGAAAATCTTTTTTAAAACATTTTTCTTTTCATCGCTTTAGGTGACCGTGAATACTGGTCAACTGCTTTTGACAGTGGCTCTATGTGTGTCAGCTGATGTCATTTTCGCCCCTCTCTGTCTGATGGTCATGGCCTGTCTCTTCACTATACAGTCCTCGTTGTCGGCAGTGGCAGCCGCCTACCCACTCACCACCTCTTCAAATGTGCCCATGCGAACAGAGCTACTGCGACGTAAGTTATGATAAAGCTAAGTTTATGTGCAACCGTGGCCGAGTGGCGAAAGGCAAGCGTCTACTTCCGTCTTGATTAGAGGGGTCCCAGTGTCATCCGCGTCCTTCAGTTGAAACCGGCTACTGCGAAATGGATGAGATCCCCCTCCCCCACGGTTCATTCTGCATTGATCCACGGTTGATCCGGGTCAAATTTTAAAAAGTTAAGTTGATTTTAAAAAACCCGACATTGATTGCTATTTTTCGGGGAAAAAGTCAGCAAGTCGCCATATCAAATCGGGATTTCTATATTCCAAAAAATCAAAGATAAACTCATCAATATTTATCGGATAAATGTTCGTACATATTATTTTTGTTCTTATTGTATGTTATATTTTTACACAAGCCATGCGGTGTGTTCTATTACGGTTCGTTTTTCTAGCCCAAGTCGCAAATAAAACGGCTCATTTATCTGATTAACTTTTGCTGCATTAGCGTTTTATCTTTGTATCAGGTACATTGATTGCTAGTGTTTTTAGAGTGTCAAACGAACATGGCGCAGATACTAGGACGTGCGAACTTTAATCTCGAGGCACATGGCAGTTTTTTATTACTTTTACCGTATCTTTCCTGATTTGACTTTTGAACATTTTAGAGCTACTTTTGCCGTTTTCTAGCTTTTGTTTGCTAAGTGCAGCTTCTCCCTGTGTCATGCTTTAAATACTGTTTTTTTATGAGCGCACGATGCAATTTCAAAATGTTTGTCTTTTTCACAAGTGAGCTAGGGCAGTACTACATTATGGATTAACATTTTGCTATTTGGTGGCACTTTTGCTGCATAGCATTGGCACATTTTTATCATCTGTTTTATCTGCTGTTTTGATGGCTAGGATTTGCCTGCTGTTAGGTGACCATGGACCAGATAAGGAACTGAGAACCATAAACTCCAGGTCGGCGGTTCGATTCCGGTATATAGCAAAAGTTTTGTTTTTCAAGGCTTTTAAACTTTTTTTTTCAGTTTTATCGCCCGTGTTTGCAAAATGCAGCTTCGCTTCTCTGTAAATGACTCAATTTTAAGGTTTTTTTAGATCTGTAAGTTAAGTTCCTGTTTGATTAAAAGGGTTAATATGAAAATGTATGGGATTGGATTTTTTTTTGAGACGCTTTGGAAAATTTTTTCACTTTTTTCAAAAATTTAGTTTTTCTCGAAAATTACTCGACCGATTTTTGAAAAAGTGTTGACAATGGAAAGTCTGTCGACTCTCTGTGTGCCTGCATAATCCACAGTTATCTTTTTTTCTTACCTTCCATCACTTTTTACAGCCTTCGAAAGAGTGTGGGGGGGGGGGGGGGGGTGGATTTTTGACCCAAATTTTTGGATTTTTTTTTACCTTTTCTCAAAAACTATTGTCCCAAATCTGAGATTTTGGGTTAAACGGATAGAACAGGTTCTGGGAAACCCCCTGCATAAGCGGCTACACCCAATTTAAAAAAAAGTAATGGCCCCCAGAAAAGTCAAATTTTCGTGTTTTTGACCGTTTTTTGAAACTTTTTGACTTCTCTCAAAAACTACCTTCCCAAATCTGAGAGTTTAGTTTCAATCGAAAAGACGAGGTATGAGAAGCTCCCCTGCGTAAACGGTTGCGCCCAAATTTTTTTACACAAAAAATAATGACACTCGGTAAAGTCGATTTTTTTTAAACTTGATTTTCTCGAAGGTTATTCTGCCAAATCGAACTGAAAAAAATTCACTACTAGTTGTTTTATTAGAGAACCATTTGAGGTTTTGGGTGAAGTCCAGTTTTTTAAATTTTTGCTTTTCCTTTACGCATCAGTTCAAGAAAAATTCAAAAATTATCAAACGGGTATTTCCAGCTTTAGCTGGCCTCTATTGCAGCTTCGCTTCTCTGTAAATGACTCGATTTTAATGTTTATGGTTAGAGTAGTAGGTTTGATGTAAGTGTAGCTTCGTTTTTTTGTAAATTACTCAATTTGAGTGGTTTTGTTCAGATTAGTTAGTTTGATGTAAGTGTGAGCTCATTGGAAAATTTTTTTGTGCCTTAATGCGCTCCTGATAAACAGTTCAGGCGTGCAAATAATCCATGCAATTCGTTGCATTTAGAATTGCAGTTATAGTTGCAGATAGGCAATTGAAATATTTTCTGCTCTCTAAATGAGTAGAGTTCCTGAAATAAAGGTAATGGTCTCCAAGTTTTCATTTCTCTTTTTATCCATAGGTAAACACAAAAGCGAAAGCTAGGTAATTAAGACGACAAGATTTTTCACTGAGGTGATGCAGAGCTGCGCATCATTTGCGATACAAAAGAAGCGTAGCATTGTCAGCTAGCGATTAGAAAATGAGACGGTAATCAGTAAGTTGATAAAAAGTAGAATTTTTGAAAAAAGTATATTTTCAGAAAATCAATCGAGAATTACAACCACCAGCATTAAATAGGCTTTTGCTATCATTTACCAGCGGTTTTTAAGACGAAACTACTGAATTTCAAAAATTGCAAAAAATAACCCTTGCGATAAGCAAGGGTGTTGCAGCCGGATACTTGACTTTACCCCGTACACAACTTTGTTCGCAAGATTTTGCAGATGTTTCATCTTGCGTTTTATTAAATTCAAAGTCAACCAACCAACCAGTGCATCTGAGTATAGGTAGCAAACATGCTTCAGACTGCAAGGGGTTGAGTTAAGAATCGGCTGTATCACGGGCTCTTTTTGATGGTTCGGATTTTTTCTTAATTCCTGAATGCCATTTCTGAAGGCTCATTGGTCAGTTGGTAATTGAGTTACAAGATTTTTGGCAACTTTTTTTTTCTTTTTTGTCCGCTGAATTTTAATCTATACAATGACTGTGCTCGTGATTAGCTAACGTTATCAATTCAGAACATAGACTTATTCTTGTTAACAAATTGTCCAACAAAATCACTGAATCACTTTCTCAAATCTGCACTGTCGTCAACCAGCAGACAAGTTTCGAGAGTTTTTGCATTTTATTTACCCATTCAATTCGATATTTGTTTTTTATGTTGCTTTCAAGTTTCCGGTTCTTATAATTTTTTTTTGTTTACTCGGTCTAAAAGTTTTACGGTTTTTACTTAATCGGTTTAGTGGCATCATACTGCATCGTTGGATAAGGGAAACAAATTTCTTATGCGTATGAGATTTTTGATAGGGTAATTTAATATTTTTGAACTTTTTCTATTTTTATGACGTTTTTTTGGCTCAACAGGTGTCTGCTCAAAAATTGTCGCCTTCAATACCGCTTTGCTTGTATGCAAGTCTAACTTCCAATTTTTCTGATGTAGTTTTGTTAGAAAGTGAATTTTATTCAAAGGGATAATATGAAAGTTTTGGTAGATCAAGTTGTTCTCGGCATTTTTACGCTAGCGTCAGCTAAGTATTATTACGAACCTTTTTTCTAACCTAACTCGCAGCTCGCAAATAAAAATGTGCATTAAAAGTGTTCACTTATTTGGAAGTTTCGCTTTAGCATTGGAAATTGCATAGCATCTGTTCTCTGGTTCATTTATGGTTAGTATTTACTCTTCTTTCTTGTATCTACTAATAAGCTTCCGTGGCTGAGTGGTTAGTGTGGGTGACTCTTTATCTCAAGGTCGCAGTTTTGAATCTTAGACGTGTATGGTTTAGCTAATAGTTCGCGGTCAACTTTGTTGGAAATTTAAAATCGCCCCAAAAGTCTTTCTTAGGTCATTGTTCTCTTTCTTGAGGTAGCGTAAAAAGGCTAAAGAGAGGAATCTGACACTTTTAAAGTTGAGAAATTTCGTGTGTTTTAGAAACAGGCAGCTTCTACTGTAAGCTATTTGTCATTGCATTCATCACGTCAGCTGCCCAGATGATCTGTGTTGTGTTCATCTACTTCTCTGCTTATGGAATTTTGTCAAAGTTAGTGCAAAATAAGAAGCAATTTACTATATAGTTTTCAGAACTACGGGATCCATTTATCCAGTAGGTAACGCATTTTCGAGGCTTTCTAGTTTTAGACTTTAGACTGCCTTAAATTTTTTGTTCCTACCACTACGAACTACGGTGTAGGGTGCTTTTTTCTGCCCAATTTTAGGAACCTCAAATAAAGCCCTTAGTTGGTCAAAGTGGTATCGTATTAAAGGGGTGTCACTGTTAAGAAAAATGGTCTCAATTTTTTAGTTTATCAGATTAATGATTTTTCAGACTACAAATTATAGACGGAACATGCTATCTAATCTTTCTGTCATTTATTTTTTTTATGTTAAGCTGTTTTAAGTGGCTCTTATGGCTCATTAAGCACCTCAAATTATACACCAATAAGAAATTAACAAAACATAAACTTAAGAAAAATCAACTTTTTTTCGATTTCGTTTTTTATAGGTTTAGTTACGAAAGGTCCCGTGGTCAAAAGAGTCCGCGCTACTTGCATAGCAGCCGGCTATTCTTGGTAGTCTTTGTTTGTGCTTAAGACCTTCTTCGATTTAACGTTTGTGTTTTAACCCTGGAAGAAGATGAAAAAAGTACAGGTACATTGCTTGTTTCAGACAAATATTCTTATGTGTGACCATTTCTGTCGCAGTGTTCTGGGTGGTGTTTGCCTTTGTAGTACCTGCAGTTGCGTCCCACTTGACCTCGTACAGTGTCAAATTGGCATCCAGAAAAGTGTCAACTTGCCAGGAAGACTCAATGGTCGCTTCGGGATCTTCCGTAAGTATCGTACAGGAAATCATTTTAGGAAGTAATCAGAAACTTTTTCTAATGAAGGGCCGAGCTCCGATGCGAGAAATAACATTTTTGTCGGTCTTTTTACTGTCAGATTGGTTTTGTTTCCAATTTGTGATTTGAGGTTTTCACCAATTGGGCTTAAGACTTTTTCTAATCGCTGCTTGTATAGCTAATGTCAAATTTTTGACAAAATCAGAAGCATTGATCAATGGAAAGGGTGTCTTAGGTAAAATAATCACGTTTACATTTATTTGCCCAAAACTCAGGGGGCTGATCTAAGATTTTCTTGAGGGGGGGGGGGCTGATTTTTTAAAAAAAACTTTTAGTCGACTTTTTTTAGGTCGTCTGAATTATTGATTTTCTGAGCTATCGTAAATCGCTATGAAGAACAAATTTCGACCAAACTTTCTGCGCTGCAGGTAAGCTCTAGAAAAACTGGCCGAAAAAGCTTTTTTGGAAAATTTTTACCAAAAAAATTGAATTTTTTTCGGCGGGAGCTCAACCCCACCCCCTCCCCCTCCAAGAGTAAAATACATATTGGCGCCTTTTGAAAAACGCTAGAATCAGCTAGAAAAATGGATAACTCAAAAAAATCAAAGGGGGATTTTGGGTCGGCATAGGGTCGAATCCTGTAGGGAGGGGCATCTGCCGCCCCCTTCTAAATTCTTTACTGCCGGAACTAATATCGCCAACTTTTTGCCATAATTTGTGGTTGATTTTTGCTTTGTGATCTTTCAGGATCAATCGTGGTATTGGTTCCCCTATTCATCCTCGTGGCACGAAGTCGCCATGAGTGGTCCCGTGGCTGCCTCCTCCTCGTCCTCTTCCTCCCGCCGACATCGCCGCGTTGGCCGTCACCACCCTACGTCATCTGGCCCCATGTGTGCCCAGTCATTTTTGAATTCTAGCAACTCCTTCGTCTTAGGAGCCCCCGATTCCTCCTCACATGGCCAGCATGATTTGTCTAACAATGCCTACCATATGCAGATGACAACCAAAAGGTGCAGTTCCTCAAAACTTAGATCCAACTTTGACTAGGTACAATTAACATATTTCCATGTTTTTAATCCTAGCGAAATTTTTTGATGGTTGCATTTACACAAACAAAATTTTGAGCAAGCTATTTGACTGAAGTCTTAAAGGATAATTTCCTGTAATTTTCTTTGTGAATTTTTAGACCTCTATTGATTAAAGGAAATTTTAAATGAACTGAAGACGGTTTATCGACGAGGGAAAGGACCAATTAGCGAGCTGTTCAGCTCTTCAGAGAGAACCGCTGATGTGCCCTGGTTAAGTTTTGTTTTCTGTACGTGGTAATTTTGCCTCACCCTTAAGCAACCAGCACATATGATATGGGGCCTCGAACCTCCGACCTTTCAATTTTTAAGCGGATACTAAGGCCCTTCACCATCGCTACTATAAGTTAATGTGAAAAAATGCGAAAAGTGTACTCAATGTGTTCGTCCGCTATTTGATACCCTTGCATATCAGAATTATGTCAACTGACAAATGTATATTAAATAATCTCTATGAAAACAATTTGTTATGATTATTGTTTGCAGATTCAACTTCCTGAGTGGTCATGGCAGTCTGACGAGGCGACAGAAAATGAGGTTGCAGAGGTCATACATCCGCAACCAGCAGTTCCTGGCCATGGCAGTCGCAGGCAACGGGGGCCATACAAGCTCACGACACACACACGCTGCAGCCTCCAAGTCACCGGGGCACCATCAACATCCGGCAGTGAATCGATCGGCGTCCGGCGGAACCAGCCAGAAGGCAAGTAGAGTCCCATCTTTTAGGCTATTATATTGCACATTTACATTTTAAGCTAATTTATTGGAATATGCTAGGCTGGGTGATGATAATTTCAAAGGTGATTGTTAGCAGCCAACTTCTTTTTCTGATTAAGTGTTTATAAACGATGTGAGTTTCGTTTTTGGTAAAAGTTTCATTCACTGCTCAATGCTCAAATATATAGTTTTTGCAATTTGACATTTTATTTTTTGTTCATAAGTTTTTCAAAATGGCACAAAAAAAAAACGTTTTAGTTTAAGCTTTAATTTTTGGATTTTGTATTTGAAGCTTGAAAGTTTGCATAACTTTTTCAATGTTTTTCTGTCTAAGATCTATTTGAAAAAAAAATCTGGAAATAAGTCATTTATTGAATAGAACATGATGTCTTCGAATACGAGTGTTGACATCCAACTTTGTTCTCATTGAAGCGTTCTCGCATGTTACAATTCTGTTTAATTCTAATCAAGAAAGCAAGGAGAAAGAAAATTTCTGACCCATGCTCAAATTGAGACGTTAATAGTTAATTAGCAGTTGGAATGATTTTTTAGGGGTTCGAACCAGCAGTTGCATCGAAGCCGATGCTGATCCGCAATTTGTCCAATGGCTCCAGGTCAACTGCAGTCCCAGTCACAATTATCCCCTCCACATGTTCCACGGAACGCAAACTATTCATCAGTCCCAACAACCCACACCATTCAGCAGCCGACGAGGAGCACGAGTGTTGCCCACTCGCCTCTCGGCTGTCCTCCCGTCACCATCCAAACGGAGTGGAAGAGAGTAGTGCTAGTTCATTCTACCCGATCTCGCTCACAGACGCGGAGAGCGATTTCCTTCTCATGCGGTCCCCCAGTCAGAATTTGTGCAATGAGAGTTTGAACACAGAAAATAACTAAGAATCTGTTCTAATATTTAGTTTCTTAACGGATCTCCTTGAACGCACATTGTAGCCAGAATTTAGTGGGCAGGAAAGTCGCTGTAATACGGAAATCTGACCGTCAATTTGGTAATTTCCGGCGAATATCCAGTTGTAAATGGTACTTTTTTGGCCCACATCACTTCGAAAGAATTGTAATTTAATTGACCGAAATAGTGAACACCAAGCTTGGTTTCTGAAGGTGTCCTGGAGATCCAAAATTGTTAAGTTCATTTTAGTTGATGTACGACTTACTGATTATCGAGCATGACTATGATTTAAATTGCACATACTAATTTCAATTTATTGCTACGAATTGGATAGTTTTTATTAATTGCCAAGATAAAGCTCATGGCATGTTAAGGTTTTATTTTGTTAAAAACTCAAGCTTACTTGTGAAAGGTCATTTTCTGGAAATTTAAATCAGATGAAGCCAAGGTTTTCAAACTTGTGTCTGTCATATTATTTGGGCAGAGCATTAAGTTTCTGTGTAATAAAGTATTCTGTTAATCTACGACTTATGTACAACTAATGTACAATTACTTAAAAAGATAAAACAGATAAAATAGAGTGTGTGAATTTAAAACGTTCAAAAACTAAAACTGAACATACGCTCTACGATCGACCATTGGTCGTATCGAACAAAGTAAACCGGTATTTAATTAATACCGAAGGTCATTTAAAACAGCTAAAAACTACAATTTCACTAACTAATTCTATATACACCCATTTTTCCTACAAATGAAATAGGAAAGTAAAAATGTACAGGGTGAATATACAGAATTTACAGTTATACATAAGATAGGATAAAAACAAATTAACTAAAACTAAAAAAAAAACAGCACTAATCTACAAGATGTACATTTAACATGTACAACGTTATCTACAATAAAAAGAATCGATTAAGTGTGTATAATATGAAATGAAATAAAAGAAAAGTTTTACGTGGCTGGGAGGTACGTTATTGTTAGTCATGTCGTCAAAATAGTCGTCTATTATCCCGTCCCAAGAGTTTAAGTTTAAAGAGGACGAAGAACCTGAAGAAATATGTATGAGGTCTTGAGTGGTCTCTGCGTCTATTGGCGAATCGGACGTTTGAGTTGGCCTACCCGCTCCTGAGGTGCCTTGCCTTAACTGGGGGTTGTCTGTCACTATAGTCTTCTTTGGCGGAGGTAGCTTCCTCTTTCCGGCTAAACTCGAATGTACATGTGAATTGCGCCCGATGGATGGGTTGGTTCACCACAATTTTTTTTTTGAGACCGAAGAGTAGTTTTCTTTTAATAGCCAAGTCCGATTTTCGTCAAATATGACCGTTATCGAGAGTTATTGTGTGATCGGAAGAGTCAATGATGTTCTTCTTTACTAAGTTAAAATAAGGTTCCCCATTTTTTCTGTTGGTAGCCCTTCTATATAGTTTACCTCCAGTAACTAATTTCTTCGATGCTCTTGGGCGTCTGTTCTGGTTGTGACCCTCTGGTGTATGTGTGTTCGGTATTGTCTGAGCTAGCGGCAGGTTGTCTTCCGGGTCCGATGGGCTGTCCTTGTCCTTGTCAAGATAACCGTCTTTCGCACCGTCGTGCAATTCCCAGTTTCAGGCCCGTCCGTTAGATAGAATCGATTTCCCTTTATCTAAACGGTTATTAAAGGAAGTCAGATTTTTCCATCTAGTGTTTGTCGTTCTATTAAAGTGTTTCTCGAACGCAGTACAACCGACTGAAGCTTGTTTTGTGAGGTTCCAGATAATTTTTCCGATCGAGGAATTTACAGAAGGTTTTGGTAAATAAAATGACATTGCTAATAACTTAAACTTTATCGTATAAACCAGTCTTTCCACAAGCCCATTAGATCTATGATCGCCGTTTGTACAATAAATGATCTCGATGTTGTATTTTTCGCAGAAATTTTTAAAATCATGTGATAAAAAGCAATACCCATTGTCGACTCTAATCTTCCTTGGAAGCCGTAAAGGTGACAATAGTCGTTTAGAAATGAAATAACCGTGTTCGAGGAAGTATCATTTACTACCTTGGCCGATGGGATTTTAGTGAATTGGTCAATACATAGAGAATGTAATTTTGTGTTCCCCAAAACGCGTCCGAAGTTCCTGCGAAGTCCAGATTTATTTATTCGTTAGCAAAATCCAGAGTCGGCAGTTTTGTAATATGGTTGGTACCGAACAAAACTTTGAGGTTCTTACCGGCTTTCAGACATTGACTACAAGACTTCCCGTGATGGTAAATCTCTCGGTAAATGTGAGGCCACCAAATGTATTCCGCGAGAGACTTCATCCCAAACTGGCCTGGGTGGGTCTCGTGTAGCATTGCGCTGAAAGTTTCCCTGATAGTAGCCGGTACTAATGTGTTGTCTAGAAATCTTCGACAAAAAATTTGTTGTCTTCGTTATATCTAATTTTTTTTTGTTTTGAGGTATGAATTGTTTATTTTAAAAAATGAAATGTTAAAGGATCTTGTCCGAGAAAGTTATGCTCCTGACGTTGAATTTAGAATTATCGATAGGTAAACACTTGGAAGTACAATTTTCTGGTCGTATGTGGTAATTATCGCAAATTTTTTTTGACTGAGCAATACAAGATATAATAGCGACAATAATTTTGAGTTCGAAATTAGGTGAAGATCTATTCGAAAAGTCTTGACCAATCACGTCGCTTGAATTTTCTACTCGCGATATTACTGTTCACGAGAGTATTAATATTTACAGCGACCGAAGGTCTATCTACAATTTTTACATACACAGAATTAAAGTGTGCTCTATTAGATAAAATATTCTGAATTTTGTCGATTGAAGTGACTACAAATTCTTCGTCGTAAAGAGAAGGTGGGAGGGCTTTGCCCGAAGGTAATCTAGATACAAGATTAGTAAAACTCATATCTTTTCCTGGGATATGGGAAATTTTAAAATTAAAAGCTAATAGTCTGTTTACCCATTGGGTCAATCGGCTATGCAGTCTTATTCCCGTGGTTTGCCGAAAGTGCAGAGAGTAAGGCTTTGTGGTCTGTGACGATTTCGAATTCTGCCCCGTAAAGGTAATTTCTGAAGTGTTCTGAGGCCCACACCGCGCCCAGTAATTCTAGTTCGTTCGTAGAATACTTCATTTCATGGTTATTTAAAAACCTTGAGGCGAAGGCAATCGTTTTCCACTGGGCCCCTTGTAATTGTTCTAGAGTTGCGCCTAGTCCGCTATGCGTAGCATCCGTTTTTAAGCTGGTTTTTTCTTTTATATCGAAGTGGCTGTTTTTTGTGATATTTACGATTTCGGATTTTAGTTTTTCGAAGGCTGAGGAATGAACATCCTCCCATTTTTATACAGATTTTTTTGTTCAATAGGGGACGTAGTGGGTAACTTGAAGTTATTAAATTCGGGACGAATTTCACATACTGATTTATCGAGCCGAAAAACGATCGCATTTCCGAAATGTTCTTAGGGACTGGTAAATTCTTGATGGCACCTGCTTCACCGACCAACAATTGTACTTCCTCACCTGAGGTTTTGAAGCCTAGCCTTTGTTTTTCATTTTTGAAAAATGCAAATTTCCCCCGCTTCACCGCCATATTGTTCTTGTCCAGAATTGTTAAGATTTTATAGGATATTGCTTTATGTTCCTCCAGGGATCCCTTCGATGCTACCAGAATGTCGTCTATATAACAGTTTGTGAACGGAATGTTCTTTAAAAGTGAGTCCATGACCCGTTGGAATTCATTGAGCATGTCACCCAGTCTATAAAATCCAGTTAAAATCGATAAGCTCCCGTTGCTTCACCGCCTACTATTTTTAAATTACACTGTTAACTCGTTTTTTTGCACAATTGAAGTTGACTATAAGCTTTTTTCAGATCTAAGTTGCTGAACGAAATTTGTCCTTTTTTTTCTGAAATTTGGAGAGCCACGTTGTCTATGAGTTCATGAATATTTGGCATTTGGTATTTATTTTTAAAAATCTGGTCGATTAATACTTTAGAATCTAATGCCAATTTAATCGAACCGTCTTTCTTCCGGGTAATAGCAATCGGGCTCATAAAACAATCTTTGTCACACTTTTTAAGTTTTACTATGTGACCTTCGGTCTCCATTCTTTTCAGTTCTTCATTTGCCTCCGCAAGTAAGTGAAGGGGAACTGTTCTCCCTTTTGCCTGTACCGTTGAAACGCTACGGTGAGTGAAAGTGTGTTACTTTGTGGTCGTTAGGAATTTTTCCCACTCTGGTGAATAGTTCTGTAAAACTCGCTAAAAATTTTGTCATTTGATGAATGCAGTTTTTTACACTTACTCTCAAATGGTGGTTGGTTGACCATGCAGATTGAATGGGGGCTTTTCTTCGTTTTTTTTTTTCGATGCCTAACTTAGGTAAGTTGTCATTCCCCAGAATGTTGCGTTCATGGCCACCACGTATAAAGAATGGAGTTTCTTCGCTGATCCACCCGTTGGATTGTGTCCTAACGATGATCTTTCCTAAGATGTTGATAGTATCGTGTCCTAACGATGATCTTTCCTAAGATGTTGATAGTATCGGGGCATTTCTTCTGTTTCTCTTCGATGCCTAACGTAGGTAAGTTGTCATTCTCCAGAATGTTGAGTTCATGGCCACCAGGTATAAAGAACGGAGTTTCTTCGCTGATCCACGCGTTGGATTGTGTCCTAACGATGATCTTTCCTAAGTTGTTGATAGTATCGTCAGTGAAAGCACAATACAAGTCTTTAATCCGCTTCTCCACTAGGTAGATTTTCAGGTTGGGTTATCTTAGTTTAAGCTAGTGCAACACGTTTTGTTTCAAAAAGCTTACAGGGCTTGCTGAGTCTACCGGGATATTCATGTTAACGATCATCTCCCATCCCAAGCCTATGTTTAGCAGCTTCCAGCCCGTTTTCATCATAAATCGTTCTCACGCTTAGTACTGAGAAGTCGTCGTCGCTCTGCCCGTATTCGTTCCAGGCGTTTATCACATCGCAAGATTCTTGATTTTCGCCCCCACGAGCTTTCCGGAGAGACGTATGTAAAATTCTCAGTATTTACATAGTTATCATTTACAGTATTTACAGTGGGTCGTTTGTTACGATATTTACATAGTTTGGCGCAGTGTCCAATTTTTACATGTTAAATCCTTCGCTGGGCATACGTTCATGTGTCGTTTCGTAAATGGGTTACCGCATTTCATGCACGCGTTGCTTCTTTCTATGTTGAGACTTGGATCCTCCTTGATCTGATTGTGATTGTTAAAAGGTTTAAAAGTTGGCGCATTGGTCGACAATCGTGCCATTTTGGTCAGTTTTTGGTGGTTAAAATATCCTTTTTCATCGATCAAGGCCTTGTTGAGTGCTTCTGTCGGACTTATCGTGGCTGATAGAAGTTTCCTTTGTGTGTCTCTGTTTCTCATGTTACA